CTGCTTATCTTAGCCAGTCAGTGGGGATCCGGAGACACCCCCAGTGCTGCCGGCTCTGCTTTAGAAAGCGGACTGCAGCCTCCCTTGGGCTGAGAACTAATTCCGCTGCCTCCTCGGGGTTTCTACAGGCCCGAGGCTGGGACTTCACAGCCCCAGGTAACCTGCTCTCCTCTGGCCTGTGTTCAATGAACTCAAGTGACCTTTGCCGGCCTGGGACACAAAGGAAGTAATCAAGTTTAGACATGTGCCTCGGTGTGGGGGAGGGGCGGGCTGCGCCTTCCAGCCGCACCAGCCACAGGACCAAATACGGGCGTGGGAGCCCTGGGCAGAAAGTTCAGAGCCGGTGTGCAAAGCGGGACTGGTTTTCAGCGAGATAAGCCGTCCGGAGGGCTGCAGGGGATGTGTGCAGCCAGCCCTTCCCGCAGGGCTGGGCGGGGAGGGGGCCTGGCCGGGCTTTCCCCAGGGGCGTGGGGCGGGGCTTTCCTTGCCGGACCCTGTGACTTGTGACTGAAGGAACTGACCACCCACGGGTTTTACCCGTTTCCATGGCTGCTGAGCGGCTCCCGAGCGCAGCCAGGGTGAGTCATCAGCGCTAGAAGGTCAGCCTGTGAGGACCTGTTTACTGAACATAAAGGTTAGGGCTGGGCTCGGTTTGTGTTAACACTGTGTTTGCCGAGCACACCCAGGGCAGGGCCTGTGAGGATTGCAGTTATTGGACCAAAAGATTGGCACAAGCTGGTTTCCTCCGCTGTGTTTGAGCTTGCAGGCACCCCCTTCTTCTCAGAGGCCTGCCAGCCGGACAGGGTGGCATTGTCTTCCTGAGGTGCTTCCTGTGGCACCCACTGACTGATGGCAGCATGGGAGTCAGGGAGGCTGCTATCCCAGCCCGGCTCTTTCCCTCCCACCCGGCCCTCTCCTCCCCCTGCAAACCCTTCGCATCCTGCAGCCAAGCCACCAGGCAAAGCTCGCCCTGCGGGGCCTGAAGCTTCCTAGGGAAGGGAACAGGGTTTGTGTTCATGTTTGTATCCCTAAACCTTAGCCCCAGGCTCGGGGCCTCATGTGTGCCTCGTCCCAGCGGGCTCCATGGCAGTGTCTCCCTCTCAGAGTCCTGCTCTGGGGGTGAGTGCTGTGCGCCTCCAGATCCCCCCTCCCAGCACCTGACAGCTGCTCTCCTCAGGCCCCGCTCTGCACCCCTCCTTTCTGCCCCAGGTTTTCTCTGTCGTTCAGAGACTCGGTGCCCAGCCTTGCTTAGCCCCAGAGTGTGGAAGAGTTAACACCCTGTGAAGATAAACAGCTTTCTCCTCTGGGCAGCTGAGCAGGTCTCAGATGTTTCCATACACTCCCATGAGGTCACGCAGCCAGGGCCCCTGCAGGGGTCAAGTTGATAAAGCATCCCGTGTGGGTTCTCCCTCCCTCTGTCACTCCTGCTTCCCGGGGTTACACGCCCCAATAAAACACACATGCACCCTAGGCTCTGCTTTCTGGGAAACCCACATGAGGATATCTGCAGAATCTGGCACGACCAGAGCTTTATCTAGAAGTTACTTTGCTTTCAAAATTCAATTCCTCTAAAAACATTTCCACTTTCCTATGTCTCATTCTTTTAGACTGAGAAGTCAAAACCAAAATTAAACTTTAGTAACTTGTGGCTTTTCTTATTTTTGTGCTGCATTAACATTCCTTACCTTAGGTATATCTAGTCCCCAGCCAGCAAGGGGGCACACTGAGATAGACGGCTCAGGGTCATTCACCAGCTGTCTCTTGCAGCACTTCCGTTTACATTCCGCCAGCATGTTTAGCTGAGCCTAATTGTTAATCCATCAGAAAAGAAAGGAACTGCACAAGTTTTCATTTGGACCCAAGCCTTGAGTTGATTAGGGCTGAACTTGAGGCCAAGGACAAGTCAGTTGATCTAGAAGGAGTTCCTTTTTTCACATTTATCTGTTTGAAGTTTCCCAGGGTCAAATTTTATGTTTTCCTGCCTTGAGGGAAGGTGACTCATTGAGATACCTTGCTGCCCTCCGCACTTCATAGAGTTTTTTGCCCCTTATTTGTTTTATCAAGTTGCTAACTTTCAAAGCTCTTACTTGCATGTTTCAACACTCAGAATCTGGTTGGTATAGCAGCCTTTGGCTCCACCAAATATATACAAGACACTAGTAAAATGTAGAAGTTCAAAACATTTACTAAAAATCACTAACTTGTGCAAATTATTTATTTTTAAATATTTTTATTTTAATACATTTTTTATTGATTTCAGAGAAGAAGGGAGAAGGAGAGAGAAACATCAATGATGAGGAAGAATCATTGATCGGCTGCCTCCTCTACACCCCACACTGGGGATCGAGCCACAACCCTGGGCATGTGCACTGACCAGGCACCGAACCTTCGACTTTCTGGTTCATAGGTCGATGCTCACCCACTGAGCCATGCCAGCAGGGCTAAATTGTGCATTTTAAATGGGTGGACTTTATATTATGTAAATTATACCAATAAAGTAGTTTTTAAATATCCAGAAAAAAATAAAATGTAGGATGAGTAGATTAGACCAGTGATCTCAAAATACAGGGCAGAGCCAAAGAAGATTCAGAGCTATGAGTACACAAAACAGTTTAGTCGTATAATGTTATTCATTCATTACTGCATTATTGTCCACAGAACAACGTGAACCTACTTTTGCCCCACTCTGTATTTCTTGTAATCCCCTGACAAAAAGAAATGAAATTTGAGTATACGTTTCCATATTTGTGGGTTTATTCATTTATTATAAATTGTGTACATGTTATACTCTGCTATATGCTATAAAATAGCTTAATAGAAATTTAAACAGAGAGAAAGACAGATACAGAAAGTCTAGTGATTTCTTGCTTTCCTCCACGGATCGGCTTGCACATCTCCGGGCCACTGACAGGCAGTCCGCACAGAGCTCCACAGGGACTCCAGCGCAGGGAAGGAGAGGGTCTTTTTATTAAGGAGTTGAAATTGGGCTGATGCCCCAGTGATAGCACTACTTTGACATTTACATTCGCCTTGACAGTCTTTAAATTCTTCCTCTCACACATCATCTTATTTGCTCTGTGAAGAGAAATGAAGTGGCCGAAACCAGTTTGGCTCAGTGGTAGAGCGTCGGTCTGTGGACTGAAGGGTCCTGGGTTCCATTCTGGTCAAGGGCATGTACCTTGGTTGGGGGCACATCCCCAGTGGGGGGTGTGCAAGAGACAGCTGGTTGATGTTTCTCTCTCATCAACGTTTCTAGCTCTCTATCTCTCTCCCTTCCTCTCTGTAAAAAAATCAATAAAATATATTTTTTTTAAAAGAGAGAGAGAGAGAAATGAAGTGGATCAAAATAGGAGACAGACTGGGAAGAATCCTGAATGCCATAGCAGAGGAGTCTGGACTTGCTAATAAGAGCAGTGCGGCCTGTCAGTGTGTCAGATTACAGGGGACACGTCAGTCCCAGGCCCCTTGGTGATGGGCTTTCCTCTCCCGGTGAGAGGGAGGCACTGAGGGAGCCTGGGCTTGCACTGTCCCCTGGCCCTGCCCCCAGTGAAGCCTGGACCAGCAGGCCCAAGTCTCAGATAATGCGGGCCGCGGGGCTCGTCTTTCAGCCTGTCCCAACCAGGGGTTCGTAGGCTTAGCCTCCACACACACACACACACACACACACCCGTTTCCTTAGACTGCTGCTCCGGCCACACGACTGCTCTTGGTTTCCGGAGTGATCCGGTGCCTTGCGTGGGCCGGCCCACCAGGCGTGTGCATGCAGCTGTTTCAGCACAAGGGCATTTCCCCTGATTCCTGTCTCTTTCCTCCAGCAGCCGGAGCTCAGCAGCTCGTGTTCTTCATACCGTAGTCACCTCTGTTTCCAGGGAGTAGAGCTAGGTCTCTGTTATCTCCCCGTCTGTCCCCACAGCTGAGCTGTCTGTCCTGCTTCCTGCAGGCACAGTCTGAGAGCCTCACGGAATGGCTTTGAAAAGCCTGTCCTCCACAGAAGGCACCGAGGGCTTTGGTAGAGGTAGCAGTGAAGGGGTAGGAATACCTATACTATTTGTGTATTTTATAGAAATAGCCATATCACTTAGTGCTGAGGCTCATGCCACTTTCATGCTGAAAGCCTTCAGGGACGCTCCCTTGACCAGATGTCAGTGCATGGCTGCTGTCCATAGAGAGGTGAGAGCAGCTTGCTAGCGGGAGCAATGAGAGCCTGACCTCAACGCGAGGGATGTTGCCCAGGACCTGAGCCAGAGACCTCTGGCTGGGGCAGGCCACGCGGTGCCTCATTGCGGGTGGCATGTTGCCAGCACCTGGTGACAGAGCATCTTGGTTTTGCATCAGAAAACCTGGTTTAGCCCTGACTGGTTTGGTTCAGTGGATAGAGTGTCGGCCTGCAGACTGAAGGGTCCCAGGTTCGATTCCGGTCAAGGGCATGTACAATACCTTGGTTGCAGGCACATCCCCAGTAGGAGGTGTGCAAGAGGCAGCTGATCGATTTTTCCATCACATCGATGTTTCTAACTCTCTGTCCCTCTCCCTTCCTCTCTGTAAAAAATCAATAAAATATATTTAAAAAAGAAAATCTGATTCAGACCCCACTTTAACAACCTTCCAAGCAAAGCTACTTCACGTCATCTGTCAGGGCTCTTAAAAGGTCGTCCTCAGGTGTTATGAAGTGACACCCTGTGTACTCTTTCATTTGAAGCACTATTACTGTTATTCTTATAAAGATACGTGTGCCAGGTTGGCTCTTACCTGCCATCTGTCTCCCCGGCTTCAGATAAAGCGTTGTCTTGTTGATGTCTGTGTCTTCCCCTCAGCAATGGCCCGAAGCTGCCAGCGTGTTCTGTGGGGTTGTCCATCGGTTTCCAGTTGTGTGCCGTTTCTAAAGTTCACCTCTTTCAACAGAAATCTGATGTCAAGGCAGCCCCACTATAGTTCCCGTCCAGGGGCTTGGGGAGGGACTTGCTGTTGGGAGCGTGCTCACGCTGTGCTTCTTCCCCCAGGGACTTCCCAGATGACCCGGCTGTGCAGTGGGACACGGAGCGTGTGGCCAGCGTCCTCCTCCAGCACATGGAAGCGAATGACATCAACCTGGTACGGGCACCCTCCCAGTCACACCTTTCCTTGGCCGCCCTTCCCACCCTCCACCCCCGCCTTCTCTAGGGCCGCCCCACCGAGGCAAACTGAGGCAAAACCTCCCGCGCTCTCTCAAACCTCCTGTGACAACACGCCCTCTGGGAGACCACGTACCAAACTGCCGGCTCAGAGGCAGAGGACTGCCCATGGTATCCTCTGTCCTGTCCCCTAAAAGCCCAGGTCCCCAACTCTCATTTGTACAAAACGTCCCCTTCTACCGAGCATTTTCACATTTAGAATATTGTGTAAACTTCAGAGGTAAAGTTATCATCTTAATTTACATCAAGGAAATTGAGTTTCCAGAGGCCGGCAGCTAGCCCAAGTTCAGCAAGTGGCAAAATTAGAATTGTAATCCTGTTTCAAAAAACACGGATAAATTCACACCCGCTATGGGGAGTGTTGTGGGCGACCGGCGAATGACGACCTCCAGTCAGCCACATTGGGATTTAGGAAGCCTTTATTACGAACTCGAGTCCGGACTCCTGTCTCAACTGACACAGCAGGGAGCCCCGGCCCACTCTAAGCACGCTACTTTTATCCCCGTCTTAGGGATGCCTGGCAGATCATGAGTGGCTAAAGTTTTAACAAAGAAAGGTCAGTTATAAATTGTAGAAAAATTCCACTAGTACAGTAACATTTAAAGTTTATACAACACCTGGGGTGGGGGTTATTTTCAGCTTAAGCAGTCTCTGTGTGACCTGGTTTAGTCTGTTTGTGCTGCCTTGCGGCTACGGAAACAGGACGTGCTTGCCTGGGGGTTGAGCCTTGCAACAGAACTATTTTATGACTAACAGTTATGCTACAGTCTCTGTTGTGGGTCTGGTTGCTCATTCCTTCCCTGGCCTGGAGTCCTGCCTCGATAGGGTCTTGCTTGCCATCTGGAGCCCCGCCTCGACCGGGTCTTGCCAGCCACAACAGGAGGACATGTGAGAGCACCAGAGCCAGAGGGAATCACACTCACCTGCGGGCGGGGGGGGGGGGGGGGGGGGGGGCCCCGCCAGGAACACCCATCTCTCCCAGGATAGCGGGAGCGGGCCTCGCCAGTGGTCAAGTTTTAGCCGGCTTACTGTCTATTTCTAAAACAGTAAGAACAAGGATTCTTCATGAGCTGATACCTAAAATGTGGCCGTTTAAAGTCCAAGTCATGTAAACATTGAGTTCGATGTGTCCTTTTCGAAAGGTGAGCCCTTCTGCAGAGTGCCACGCTGGCTTCCGTCTTGGTGAGTTCGTGGAGTAAAGTGATAACTGGACCTTTGTGAGGCAGATTTCCATTAATGTGTTGGTCAGCCATCTTTTTTCCAATGACAGGAGACTTAGTAGTCAGCTGTCTGCATTGGAACGGCAAAAGGCACCTGCCTGGCTCACTCCATACCCCACGCGGGGGGTAAAGGGGGTGAAGCAGGCCTGGGCCTGCCGGCTGGTCTCTGCCTTACTGGGTCCATTGACTTTGTTCTTTCCTGGCTGGAAAGTGTGGACCAGCAGCTCGCAGGTCACACCTCTCACCTGTTGACAACACCCCTGGGGGTCTGAGTGTGAAGACCGGAGGGTTGTGGCCCTGGGCTTAGGAGGCAAACTCCCTGCATACTGACTGCCCAGCCCACACAGTTAGAACTTCTCACGGCTCCAGAGGTCAGATGTGTAGACAGCTGGTCTTCAGGACCAGTCCAAACACCCTCCTCCTCCCCCACTTCGGTGCATAAGAAAGCTGGGCTGCAGCTCAGTGGGAGGAGTGGCGTGTCTGTGAACTGCAGTGCCTCCGTGGCCACTGGCTCAGTTGCTAGGAGTGTCATCTGTGCACCAAAGCGCTGGGGCACATTCCTAGGTTACAGGTTAGATCGCTGGTCAGGGCACTTAGGGGAGGCGACTGATCAATGTTTCTCTCTCCCCCTTCCTCTTTCTCTAAAATTAATAAAAATATATCCTTGGATGGGGATTAATAAAGAGAAAAAAAAAAAAGAAATGCAGATCCATGCAAAGGTCTGGGGAGCTGGGTGCACCCGGACTTAGCCCTCCTTCCTGCAGAAGGAAGCAGGAACGTGTGGGAGATGTGGACAACTCGCCTTACGGATCCCAAAATGGCCAATTTCTAGAGAAAGTCCTTTGCCTTTTTTTTTTTTTTTTAATATATTTTATTGATTTTTGTACAGAGAGGAAGGGAGAGAGATAGAGAGTTAGAAACATCAATGAGAGAGAGTCATTGATCAGCTGCCTCTTGCACACCCCCTACTGGGGATATTCCCCCATCCAAGGTACATGCCCTTGACCGGAATCGAACCAGGGGCCCTTCAGTACCCAAGCCGACGCTCTATCCATTGAGCTCCTTTGCCTTTTTTAAAGGAATTCTGCAGTTGTATTTGTTCACTCAGTCATTTAGTAATCATATTTTTAAACCTATGTTTTTTTACTTACTTTTTTGTCTACTTGTCATTTATTGAAAGGGGAGAGAAGAAAGTGGTTGAGAGAAAATACTTAAAGGGCAATAGCTAAAACTTTTCCAGAATGAGAAAGACCTTAGCCTGCCATTTCCAGCAGCCCAGTGAGTCCCACAGGAGGAGGGACATCCATGCAGGTATGTCATGTGAGGCCACAGCACAGCGAAGAGAAAGGCACAAAGCCTAATCACCTACAAAGGAGGATCTGTTCTCACTGTTGATACTTTCTCTGGTTATTGAAATCTAGAGAAACATTTTTCTAAGCTGAGCATAAACTTGCCAGACCTAGGCTTAGTGTGAGCCTTTGGAAATAACAAAGGTCCCCTACACTCCCCCCTCAAAATGTGAATGAGGAAGAATTTGAAAAGTGCCTGAGGCAAACCCCAAATCCTCGCATGCCTGTGATGACCTGGCCAGCGGCCAGCTGTCTGCTGTCTTGACCGAGCTCTAGACATCCAAGCCTGTGTTGCTGCTTGGTTCCGAACACTTCCACGTGGCTTTATTTACTTTTTTAAATATATTTTTATTGATTTCAGAGAGGAAGGGAGAGGGAGAGAGAGAAACATCAATGATGAGACTCATCAATTGGCTGCCTCCTGCACACCCCCTAGTGGGGATCGAGCCTGCAATCCAGGCATGTGTCCTTGACCAGAACCAAACCCGGGACCCCTCAATCTGCAGGCCAACGCTCTATCCTCTGAGCCAGGCAGCTATGGCCCACGTGGTTTTATTATGTCTTCGCCTCAGCCCAGAAGGAAAGGAGGGCAGCTGTTATTTTCCTGACCTCTCAGGTGAGGAAACAAGACATGGGAAGTGGGAAGAACTCTCAGAGGTAAAGTTCTGTGACTTGCCCGACGGGCTGGGGTAAACTAGTGTCCTGAGTAGAGCAGCTGCAGCCCCCCACCCACACACCCACTTTGTTGCATGAAGAATGGGATCAGCCCTAGCCAGTTTAGCTCAGTGGACAGAGCGTCGACCTGCAGACTGAAGGGTCCAGGGTTCGATTCCAGCCTAGGGCACATGCCTGGGTTGCAGGCTCGATTCCCAGTAGGGGGCGTGCAGGAGGCAGCCGATCAATGATTCTCATCATTGATGTTTCTATCTGTCTCCCTCTCTGAAATCAATAAAGAAATATCTTTTTTTTTTTAATGGGATCAGCACTTGAGTTAGATGGTTAACTGGTTTTTTAATAGACTGTATTAAAAATCTTTTTCAATTACAGTTGACATACAATATTATTTTAGTTACAGGTGTACAACATAATAGGCTGCTGTTTTCCATCCACAGCAAAACTGAGCAGAGCGTCCGTGCCTGACGCGCCCTCTGCAGTGTGTCGCAGTAGTGAATCTGCACTGTCACGTCACCAGCACCCAGAGTCAGTGTGCGAGAGGGCTCGCTTGGCTGTCAAATATTCCATGGATTTTGACATATATCCACCACTATATGTTTAGCTTTTTATAAACCTTTAACTCAGACTTTGTTTCACTTTTGATTATAGAGAATTTCAAGCATATAGAAGTAAATAGTTTAGTGAACCTCTGTATTCCTATTAGCCTCAATAATTAACAGTGTTAATTATTAAACACCTCCCACCTCCTACATTATTTTGAAACAAATCCTCGCCATCATATTTCATATTTAAATATTTTAGTATGTAATTCTATTATAAAAGACATTGAATATTTTATTACCATTAATATCATTATCACACCTAAAATTAATTCATATCAATGTTTCTCATTTCCAATAGTCTCATGCCATAAATGAGTTTTGGTTTTTTAAAAATATATTTTATTGATTTTTTACAGAGAGGAAAGGAGAGGGATAGAGAGTTAGAAACATCAATGAGGAGAAACATCGATAAGCTGCCTCTTGCATACCTCCCATTGGGATGTGCCCGCAACCAAGGTACATGCCCTTGACTGGAATCGAACCTGGGACCTTTCAGTCCGCAGGCCGAAGCTCTATCCACTGAGCCGAACCAGTCTCGGCCATAAATGAGTTTTTATTTGTTTTTTTTATAGCTTGTTTGAATCAGGATCAATGGATAAGACTTCACATTTTCTCCCATCTGTTCCCCACCCTCCAGCCTGTGCTCAGTGAAAGCTGCTCACAGTTTCCTGTACATGAAGTAAACACGTTTTATACGGTGTAGTATAGAAAGACCAGTCAGCCGAAACCTGTTTGGCTCAGTGGACAGCGCGTCGGTCTGCGGACTGGAAAGGTCCCGGGTTCGATTCTGGTCAAGGGCATGTACATCGGTTGCGGGCACATCCCCGATGGGGGATGTGCAGGAGGCAGCTGGTCGATGTTTCTCTCTCATTGATGTTTCTAGCTCTCTATCCCTCTTCCTTCCACTCTGTGGAAAATCAATAAAATATTTTTAAAAAAAAAAAAGAAAAAAAAGAAAGAAAGACCAGTCAGCCCAGCAGGTGTGGCTTGGAGGTTGCACGTCAACCTATGAACCACGAGGTCACAGTTTGATTCCCAGTCAGGGCACATACACGGGTTTTAGGCTCAGTCCCCATTGGGGGCTATACCAATCAATGATTCTCTCTCATCATTGATGTTTCTCTCTCTCTCCCTCTCCCTTCCTCTCTGAAATCTATATATATATATATGAAAAGAAAGACTGGTCATGAATTCCTTCCCAGCCTCTTCCAGTTCCAGTTTCAGGATCCTCGTCTGTGCTATATGGTCACTGGCCACCCCTGGGGACAGCTAGCCTCTTTCCATCACCCCCACCAACCAGTCCTATTCCTTTTCCTGGGTCCTTGGTTTCTCTAGAATATTTGTTTTATTATTCAAGTTCTTCTATTATTATTATTATTATTATTATTATTATTATATCATTGTTATTATTTAAATTGTTCCTTGGGCTTTTTAAAACCCATCCACGTAGAACTGAAATGTTGGAATCTAAGTTGTTAGTTAATAAACAGATCTATATTTGTGGGAATGGAAGCAGAGGCTGTCTATGAATAAACATTTCTGCTGTGAACTTAACCCAGGCCATGGTGGAACTGTCCCCAGAAGCTTCTGTGCCCTCAGTGAGGCACAAGGGAGAGACCGATAGCATCATGAACTGAGTCCACCCGGCAGCCGGCCAGGAAGACTAAATGTGCTTTACCTGGCGAGGCAGTAAAGACACAGCTACTCTGGGCTTAGTAGCACATCAGGCTGAACTGCACTCTGCTCCGCCGCCAGGAACAAGAATGAACAGCAAAACCCGCTGTGGAAGTCCCCGTGCAGCCGGCACACCCATAGTTACCATTGGCCTGAGCCGTCTGCTCAGAACGCGAGGAGTTTCCTGGCTCTGCTCCCGTCCCTCCCACGGGAGGGCACGGGGGCACAGCTGGCTGGCAGGGCAGGAGTGAGACCCTCTCTCTCTGCAGGTGGTGACTTTCGATGCCGGGGGCGTAAGCGGTCACCGCAATCACGTGGCTCTGCACGCGGCTGTGAGGTACACGCGCTGGTCCTGGTCGTGGGGGAGACGCTTGTCATTGCTCAGGGGACGGCTTCTGAGGCTGTGAGCCCATGGCACTGCCTGTCGGCAGCGAGCAGTGGCGGCCATGGTGTTCACATCTCCCAGACAGCTGTGTGTGTGTGTGTCTGTGACCATGGATACAGCAAGGGGGAACTGATTTACTTTCTTTGCTTTGGCCACTGAAACCTGTAGGGCCAAATGTGCATCCCTTAGTAGCACATGTACAAGTCTCTAAGGATTGAGTTGTGTGAACCAGTGTGCCTCCTGGCTTCATCTTCTTTTTCCTCCCTATTCTCATTTATTTCTGTATATTCCTCCCCCAAGGATTCTTATTGATGAGAGAGACAGACAGACATAGATTGGTTTGTCTCTTGCATGTGTCCCAACTAGAGATCAAACCCGCAACATAGGTCTATGTCCTGACCTGGGACTGAACCCGCAACCTTTTGGTGCATGGGATAGTATCCAACCACCTGAGTCACCAGCCAGGCTGTTGTGTATTTTATACACCATTTCATATTTTTCTTTGCAGGAGGGGGGTGTATATACATAATATGAAACCACAGTCACCCTATTTGACCAATATGGAATTTACCCGTAAAAAATAAAACCTGAACCTCTAAGAGATGAGGGACTTACTCAGGGTCATACGAAGTATATCATGTTTCCGCCCTCAAGAGAAGGGCTCTCTGAGGGCGCCTTGGCAGAGCTTGGTAGACCTGGTCCACCTGCTGACGGAGGGGCAGCTGAGGTGAAGGGCTTACCTGTCACTCCTCGGCATGCCAGCCTCCTCAGCTGGAGCAGAGGTGTGTGGCGGTGGAATGGCCTTACCTGTCTGGCCGGGCCTCCCCCTTTCACCCAGGCAGGGGGCGGTTTGCCCGGCACTGCCAGGCCGTGGCGGCAGAGGCAGCCCCAGGCCCAGGAACCCTGGGGCTCCATCTAGTGTCTGTCTGCTGCCTCTGAAGACCCGTCCAGTATCAGCCTTCCAGCGTTGTCCCTGAAGTGTGCATACTAGAAGAGACTCTAACTGATCACCCAGTCTCCCCACTGCGTCCCCGTCTCCCTGGCTGCTGCCCTAGACCACTCACCTCCTGTCCCACCAGCGGCTCCACTTGTGGAAGCCCCGGACCTGCATTAGGCCTCAGGCTCAGGAAGGAGCATCCCCTGCTTACAGCCGTGAAGACACGTGGGGGTGAGGACGCCATGAGGGCTTTCCAGCCAGCCCTGTGGCTCTCTGAGGCCTGGGCACCCAGGAGTGGAGGGCGTCAGCCCCACGGAGAGCCGAGAGGTGGCCTCCTCATGCCGTTCTCGCTGGGCCTTGGCATGTACGACCCAGCTGCCCCAGAGGAGGGCGGAGCTGGGGCTGCTGCAAACGCCGGACTGTGGCAGGGCACTTCAGGCTGGTCTGGGTGGGTCCCCTCCCTCCCAACACTCTCTGACCCCCATGGAAGGGGGAAGAGGGGGAAGGCTGCCATCTGGGCAGAGCCCCAGGGACAGCTTCCTGCAGACAGGACAGTGGGGACACTTCCTGTGGAGAGGAGCCTGGGGCGTAGCCGTACGGACATAAGGCTCACTGTGCTGAGGTAAAACCATGTGTTGGTGTGAGACCATTTCCCAGGAGCACGGGCGGAAGCCCTTTCTACGTGTGCCTGTGTGTACGGACTACCTGCCTGAGCTTTTACAGCAGAGAGGGCCAGAGGTTCTGAAACCCCTGCTGCTGGCCCTGCCTCCCTCTGAGGAGAGACAGAGCCCCGCTGTCAGAGCTGGGAATGAGCGGGCAGGTTGGAAAGGAGAGAGGGTGCCAGGGAAGAAATGTCAGCATTTTAAAATAGTCTCCTGTGCCAAGACTGGTTTGGCTCAGTTGACTGAGGACTGAAAGGTCCCGGGTTCGATTCCGGTCAAGGGCATGTACCTTGGTTGTGGGCACATCCCCAGTAAGGGGTGTGCAAGAGGCAGCTGGTCAATGTTTCTCTCTCATTGACGTTTCTAATTCTCTATCCTTCTCCCTTCCTCTCTGTGTAAAATCAATAAAATATATTTAAAATAAATGAAATGAAATGAAGTAGTCTCCCGCCAGTGGCTCAGTGGTTGAGCACTGACCTATAAACAGGAGGTCACGGTTTGATTCCCAGTCAGGGCACAGGCCTGGTTATGGGCTCCATCCCCAGTAGGGGCCTTGCAGGAGGCAGCCGATCAATGGATGAGGAAGACAACACTTTGTTCCACTCTCTCTTCACTGATGTTTTTCTCTCTCTCCCTCTCCCTTCCTCTGAAATCCATAAAAATATATTATAAAGACAAAATAGTCTCCCACCATACTCACATTACAGTTTCAGAGAGAAAAACCTTGAAGAGTCCACCCCTTCCTCTCCAATAGGCAAGGACTGAGCCAGGCTCTGCCTCCGGACTAGGCCTGGCTGTCCCTCGGAAGATGCCCACGTAGCTGTAGCAGACATCTGTGTGTCCATTTGTGCAAAAGCAATACCTAGACACTGACCTGGCGGGCCCATGGGGTGGCAGGCTTCCTCAGAAGGCCCTTCCTGCTACCTGCCAAGCTCATTTTCCTCCTCACTGTCCTTCCCTCCGCAGGGCCCTCCATTCGGAAGGGAAGGTACCTGAAGGTAAGCCGTCCCTGTGCTAAAGGCCGCTCGGTCAGGAAGCCCGTCGGGGCATTTTAACTGTCACAGGGCGGCCCGAGGCCGAGCGGAGGTGGCGGGGGGGACTGGGCTCAGGGCTGTCTGTGCGGGTCCCTGGTCCTGAGCCAGGGTGTGTCCGCTGAGAAGGGCCCGGCCAGCACGCAGCCCCACACATTGGGGGGAGACTGAGGGTGTGGTCAAGATTCTCCAGAGAACCAGAGCTGATGCAACCAAAAGGAGAGTATTTAGTTACCTGTTTATTACAAGGAATTGCTCATACAGTTATGGAGGCTGAGAAGGCCCAGGATCTGCCGTCTACAAGCTAGAGGCCAAGGGGAGCAGGTGGTGTCGAGCCCCAGAAGCAGGAGCCAGTGAGAGGTCCCAGTCCCAGCCCAGGGCCTGAGGGCAGATGACCAGCATCCTCCCCCCCACCCCTCTGTCAGGCAGAAAAGTTGTTCTCCCATCCTTGGCCTTTTGTTCTCTTCAGCCCCTAACTGGATGCTTACACACACGTGTACACACACGTGTACACACACACACACACACACACACACGAAAGCAATCTGACTCAAATGCGAATCCCACCTGGAAACACCCTCACAGACACCCATAATCATGTTCAGCCGATCACCTGGGCGCCCTGTGGTGCAGCTGGCGCCAGCCCTGCCCACTTGCCTTCTAGCTTTCTCACAGTGGGTCTTTTCCACCTCTGGTGTTCGTTCAGCCTGTCTGCCCAAACTCAGCCCCCATCTCGCAGCTCATTAGCCGGGTTGAAACTAACTGGCGGGCGTTTGATGGATTAATCTGCTTGAGTTCAAAACTTGTCCTAACCCAGAGGATGGTGCATGCCCCCGCCTGCCATACACCGTGTGGTGCGGCTGCTTGACCTATGAGCTAGTGTCTGGCCTGCCAATGGGACAGGGCACATCCCTCCCAGGAATGCTCTGAAGATGAGAGATCTAAAAGCATGTGAGCGGGTGCCCTTTCTGAGAGGCTTACAGAGGTAACCACACTGTGAGGTCTTTGGAATTTGACTACAAATTATTTGATTCTTATTTGTTAGCCTTGTGAGATAGGCAGGTCCCACACTATCAACACCATTTTACAGATAAGAAAACTGAGGCTCAGAGAGGTTAAGGGACTTTCCTAGTTCTTTAGTGACCAAGCAGGAAGCAGACTTCTGGCCTCCCAATACAGGAATTCCCATCTGTGTGTGTGTGTGTGTGTGTGTTCTTTTTTTTAAATATTTTTATTGATTCTTTACAGAGAGGGAGAGGGATAGAGAGCTAGAAACATCCATGAGAGAGAAACACCGGTCAGCTGCCTCCGGCACACTCCTCACGGGTATGTCCGTCTCTGTTCTCTTTCCCTGGCCCTGAGGTAGCCAAATCCCAACCTCTAGCACAGTGTTTTTCAACCTTTTTTGGGCAAAGGCACACTTGTTTCATGAAAAAAATCACGAGGCACACCACCATTAGAAAATGTTAAAAAATTTAACTCTGTGCCTATATTGACTATAAAGTAATTCTCTTGAATAGGAATCAAATAAACACAAAGAAAGTATTTTATAATTACTTTATTATGAAATATTAAGTAAACAAAATAGTGAAAAATTATAAAATTCTTGTCTTGTCTGCACCTACGGCACACCAGGCAACATGTGCCGCGGAACAGCGGTTGAAAAACGCTGCTCTAGCAACCAGCCTTTCCTCTCAGGACTGCAGCAGGGAGAGGCGCAGGCCAGGTGTCCTGCGGTCCTTTCACTCTTCTCATCTGTGAGAATGATGGGCAAAGGGCCGCCGCCGCCCTGAGCCCAAGGGGCAGGCAGGGTGCTCGGGAAAGCCCGTCTGGAAGCCCAGCTCTCCCGCCCCCTCGCTCCCCCGCAGGGTGCACGGTGCTCACGCTCGGGTCTGTGAGTGTGCTGCGCAAGTACATCTCCCTCCTGGACCTGCCCCTCTCTCTGCTGCGCGCCGGCGCCGGCGACGTCCTCTTCGTGCTCACCAGCAGAGAAGCGGCACAGGCCAAGGTGAGGACTGCGGCTTTCTGCACCCCCGGCCCCGATCTCCCTCCTGCAGCCCCCAGAGCCCGCCCCCAGCAGCCAGCCTCTGCCCCTGCGCGTCAGTGCTGGTGCTGGACTTGGAGTCATACATTTTCAAGAACTACCTTTTTTTTTTACTGATTGTAAAGATAATACATGCTAAAAAAGCAAATGACAACATGCTTATTGTAGAAGATCTGGAAATGCATAAAAGCATCAAAAGAAAATTAATAAAATTTCCTGCAATCCTACCTCTCATATGTAATCCTAGTTAATATATTGGCTTATATCTTCTATATAAAGAGTATTAGATAAATATATCTACGTAAGAATATACTTATATTTTTATTGATTTTGGAGAGGCAGGGATAGGGAGGGTGAGAGATAGAAGCATCAATGATGAGGAAATCATTGACTGGCTACCTCCTACATGTCCCACATGAGCCCAAAAACTGGGCCTGTGCCCTAACTGGGTTGTGAACTGAAACCTCCTGGTTCACAGGTTGACCCTCAAACACTGAGCCATGATGGCCAGACTATCTATACTAATAAAAGGGTAATAAGCTAATTAGACCAAATTGGCCAGCCATCTTCCCGATGTCCGACTTCCTTCCGGACAAAGCCAGGGTGATGGGGGACAAGGCAGAGGCAGTTATGGCCGATCAGGCCGGCAGGGGAGAGCAGTTGGGGGTGAGATCAGGCCTGCAGGGGAGGATAGTTGGGGACGACTAGGCCAACAGGGGAGGGCAGTTGGGGGTGAGATCAGGCCAGCAGAGGAGGGCAGTTGGGGGCAACCAGGACAGTCAGACATCCCTTTCACAATCCAGGACTGCTGGCTCCTAACTACTTGCCTGCTTGCCTTCCTGACTGCCCCTAATTGCTTCTTCCTGCCAGCCTGATCAGTCCCTAACCACTCCCCTGCCAGCCTGATTGATGCCTAACTGCTCCCCTGCCAGCCTGTTTGCCCCTAACTGCCCTCCCCTGCTGGCCTGATTGCCTACAACTGCCCTCCCTTACAGGCCTGTTCCCTCACAACTGCCCTACCCTGCTGGCCATATTGTGGTGGCCATCTTGTGTCCACATAGGGGCAACTAACTATCTTTGACCACACGGGCAGCCATATTTGTGTGTTGGAGTGATGGTCAATTTGCATATTACTCTTTTATTATATAAGATTAACTTGGAGAGGAAGATCGTTTTGGTACTTAAAGAAAAACAGGCAGAAAACATCTTTGTTTATATACAGTTAAATCAGTTGCTGTTTTCTGTTCTTTTTAAAAACTGAGCTATCTCAGACCTGCATAACTAGATAATAAACATGTCTTCCGTTAGGCAGTAAAGAGAAGCCATGCCTGTGTGCACCATTCTTCCTCCCACCGAGCTCAGAGGAGTCGGAGCCTGGCACTCTGGCTGTGCCTGTGGAACAGCCTGTGTCATACATGTGAAGTGTGGAGCAAAGTGATTAAGAACAAGACTCCAGAGGCAATCAGATGGCTCTGGGTTCAAATGTCAGCCCGTTCTGAACTACCTACTTGAGATCATGTGTTTCCTCATCTATTTTTTAAGAAATAATGTAGCACTTACCTCACTGGGTTGTTGAAATCTAAATGCTGCGTGGAGACTGAGTGCTCCAGACCATGCGCCTCCTCTGCTGTTAGCACGGGGCGTGTGGCTCGGGAGACGGGCGGTGCGCGGCAGCCAGGCCTGGGTTCCGGGTTACAGGAAGAAGCCAGTGAAGGCTGTGACATCGGGCGTGGGTGGGGAAGATGAAATTGAGGTTAACAGGAGCGCTCCAGTGCCCGTGTTTGCTAACTGGTGCTCTGGTTCCTGCAGAGGGCCATGTCTTGCCACCGCAGCCAGCTCCTGTGGTTCCGCCGGCTCTACGTGCTCTTCTCTCGGTACCTGAGAATCAACTCTCTGCACGCCCTCTGACCCCGGAGCAAGGAAAGGCCCAGGAAGCGGGCCTGCTCTGGAGCTGGCTCATGTCCCTGCACTGAGGGAGCCGAGGGTGGCCTCCAGGACTCTGCTCCTCAGGCTCGCCAGCCCCTGACCACCGGAGGCCAGGCAAGCCAAAGGACTGTCTAAACTTCAGCTCCTGCCCTGGCCGGTTTGGCTCAATGGATAGAGCATTGGCCTGTGGACTGAGGGGTCCCAGGTTCAATTCCGGTCAGGGGCATGTACCTTGGTTGCAGGCACATCCCTGCTTTGGGGGGTGGGGGGTGGGGGTGGAAGGCAGCTGATCGGTGTTTCTCTCTCATCGATGTTTCTAACTCTCTATCCCTCTCCCTTCCTCTCTGTAAAAAGTCAGTAAATATATTTTAATAAATAAACAAACTTCAGCTCCCTCCTCTGGTAAAAAACACACAACCACCAAAACAAACCCAATGGTAACCATTTAGCTCCTCCCATGCTTGTGAGAAGTAATCCATGTGAAGACCCAGTGTACAACCGACTCGGAGCGCCCCGCTGTGGTCCCGTCCGTCACCGTGCGAGTGCTCCGGCCAGCGCACCGGTGAGCTGCTGCGATGCACGCTGTTTCAGAGCCGGCCCCCCCCCTTCCCCGCCCCCCCCCCCACCCCCCACACACACAGGCTACACTGCCGTAGTTTAGCCCTAGTTCCTTTTATTTATCTTCAAATACAAAGGCCTCTGTATCAGATTTGAACCCCGGGAAAACTTGCGGTTTAACCTCACATCCAGACGGGGGCAGCCAGGCTCAGACGGCCGTGGTGGGCGGTTGGTTTCACACACAGACCAATATGATGTGGGCCCTGCCCTCAGCGAGTTTATTATCGACCATTTCAGACCTTAATCTTTTGAGGAAAGCAGGAAATGGGAAGAGAAATCTGGCCTTTTTAAATAAAACACACACCCACTCAATAACCTGATGTCTTAAAATTATACTACAAACAAAAGCATTCTGAAAGGCCAGAATCCGGCTAATGCTCCAGGGAAGCAGCCCGAGGCAGGGAAGCGGCCCGCACACAGTGAACCTGGGTGGAGGCCAAAATCACCAGCAGGGTAACCACAGAATCTGCCTCAATTCTCTCATCTGCTCAACAGGGACAGCAATGCACCGAGCTGAGAGGAGATGGAGCCGGAGGTGCACAGGAAAGGGTCTGACACAGACATGCTCAGGAAAGAGGAGCCGTCATATCCTGAGGCCTTAGAGAGAAAGTAGCCGTTGAGCGGAGGGACTAGCAGGAATCCGGGGCTGATACAGAAAAGACCTTGGGCCCTGACTCAGTTGGTAGAAGCATTGTCCCACACACCAAAAGACTGTGAGTGCAATTCCCAGTCAGGGCAGATAAAAGTATGTCCTCGGGGAAGGATGTAAAAGGAAAAGGAAGAGACCTCCTGAGTGTCCCCTCTGCCGGACACAGGAAGCCCTGAACTGCTAGCTCCACAGCAGCAGGTCAGAGACCTGCTTCTTGGGTCTCTTCACCCAAACGGGCTCCACTTGCTGAGGGCCACATTGTCCTGAATGCCTCCTGGGGGCCACATTCAGCTCACAGCGTTGTCAGGCCCTGAAGCTGGAACTGAAGTTGCAAAACTGGCTCTCATCTGTCCATTAAAAATTTGCTAACAGCCCCTTCATGTGAAAGTGACAAAAATAAGCCACCAACACTGGTTGGGGTGGTGGACACCGACCCAGCCTACCAGACAGGAATCAGAGCTGGTCTGTCCCAGGCTGGACAATAGCGGGTGGTCTGTCCCAGGCTGGCCAATAGCAGGTGGGTTCTTGGCTTCATGCAGGGAAGATTTCACATGTCGAATCCAGGTGAATCTGAGAGGATGTGCATTAAAACTGGGGACAGTGATGACAGGAAGGACCTAAGATAGAAGCAACAGGAGAAAGTCTGGGCGGGGCTGCTTTGGCTCTGAAAACGTCACAGGAAAGAACTGAGCCAGGCAGGGCTGTCCGGTTCACTGGAAGTCAGAGGAAAGGGGCTTTGGAGGCAGTTCCAGGGTCATCTTGGGAAGAGTTGCTGCTGCCCACTGCTCCCTGATGGCAAGTTTGAGGGGGTGGAAAGGCATGGGCGTGCTCTTGGGAGGGAGAGTGCACCCTGGGTCCTTCAACTTGAGGGCCTTAAAGTCTGGGAAAATCTGAAGCATGATCCAGGACAGAACATTTGTGTAGAGGGCCATCTGGGAAGGCACATGGGCAATTTTCTATAATTATTGTCAGCTGAACTCAGGGTGTAGGCAGAGCCACGCCTTGGGAACATGTTTCCCCAAGATGGGTGACATGTAGTCATCTTGGCCTTCATATCAGCCCAGGTGTCGGCAGGGGCAGGACTAGATATGTAAATCCAGGCAAATAAGTTGGTGCTACTTCCTGGTATTGGGGTGTAAAATAAATGCACTAGGAGGAGCCCGTGGTCTTCCTGCCTCTCCAGCAGACAGGATGGCGGCCCACCCAGCTCCCAGCTTAAAATCTATCTGTGTCTTCTCTCTTTATTTCTAATATTTCTCAATCCCTCGCCGCCTCCATTAGAACCGGTTCATTCATCTCTCTTTCCGTGCGGAATGTGGAAAAGTGAGATCCCCACCGCATCAGGCCCCCCCACATTTGTATGGAAAAGCCACTCAATAAAATATTCATCAGGTTATGCTTATGCACCAAAATGAGATTTATTTTCTTAACTTCATGTCCTTGGATGTAGTTGGCACTAATTGGATTTCTGCTGTCTCCCTGAGAAGGGTGATTTAATTTTACCCTCTGGTTGGGGAGAAGTGTGAACCATTTACTCTTAAGTGTTCTTGGTTAGTTAGGGAAGATAGGAGTTTGTGATTTGCTAGGTAGCTGTAAATTGCTTGGCCATTTAATTATGTCAGTTTCCCTATTCCACTTGTCCTAGTTTATTAGCCTGTCTCATTAAGACTTTTTAAAATACACATACTCTGTGGCCTAAGGAAATGTTTTTAAGATAGTTATAAAGGCATTCTTTATTAAAATACATTTCATTTTTAAAATGTAATAGAATCAGCTGTTAAAGTGTGTATACATGTTTTGGGACACGCTATATACACAGACTTCCTGTCAAGATGGCATTGTAAATAAACACAGTACTCACCTCCTCCCACAACCACATCAAAATTATAACTAAACTACAGAACAACCATCATTCAGAACTGCCTAAAATCTAGCTGAATGGAAATCCTACAACTAGGGAATTAAAGAAGAAACCAGATGAGACTAATAGAAGGAATGGAGATGAAGAAAGGGCTGTTCCCACATGTAGTACATAAAAATCAGGAGAGATGTTGGCTGCAGAGATCCCCCTGAGGAGTGAGGGGTCCTGCCCCACCACCACCGTCAAGAGTTCCAGTGCCAGGTGAGAAGTCTCTATAACTTGTGGGTATTAAAACCAGTGGAGACTTGGTTGAGGAAGACAGAGGCTGCTGGAGTCCCAAGCAGTTCCTCCTAAAGGCCCACACGTGGACCCACTTTGACTCCCACCCTCTGAGCTTCAGCACAGGGGCAGCAGCTTGAAAGGCACTAGAGACACTCAGAAACTGAATTGTCCAACATCAGGGAGAAAGCTGGAGGTAGTGCTGGCAAAGGACACTGTTCCTTTTCTGGAACCCTCCCCAACACACACATATACACAGGCAGATGCTATACCTGAGTCTCCATCATCCTGGCTCACACTGTTTGCCTTACCCTGGTGATTCCCTGAGACCCGACCGAACCCAACTTTCAGGCTCACCAAAGCTGTTTCCAGTAGCTTTCCATACAAACGGCCTGTCTTGGATCATGCTTCAGATTTTCCAAACAAGCAGCATTTGGCCTCAGCAAGTCCCATAAAACTGGCTACGTGGCCCCAGATCTAGCACTAGTATAGCCAACCTTGGTTCAAAGCTCGACCTCTTTGGCCACCTCCAAGCCCAGAACAAGTAGCAGCCATCTACAGATTGCTTTGTAATTCATGCTGGATGGTGACAGGCAGAATGCAGGCAGCAGCTGACTTTGATCTGTACATCCAGGGAGGCCCCAGAGCCAGTGCACTCAGTGGACAGCTTCAGACCACGTCAAAGCATCACCACCCAACCACCTCCACAAGCAGCACAATCAAAGGGCACACTCACCAGGCACTAGCGCCTTGCTCTAGTAAGTCCTCTGGGTGGGCCCCTAGAAATCTGGGAAACTAAAAATACATGTTCTTTGGAGTGAGGCCAATCTTACTAGAAACAGGCTAGAAACCCATAAGATACAAAGAAAGAGACAAATATTCCCCAACAAGTGTTGTAACAGATATTATAGATGTAATATCCCTAATACTCTATATAAAGATTAATAAGAAAACTTCCCAAAAGAAACATGGGTTAAGGATGAAAAGTCATAAAAGAGGAAATCCAAATGGCCAATAAGCATCAAAGACTATTTAACTTCGGGAGCAACCAGGGCATGTAAATTACAGCAACATGGAAGCCGTTTACCCCTGGAGGTGGTGACGGAACTAGAGTGGGAGAGGTTTCCCGGAGACCTGAGCGAGGAGGACAGGGGCTGCAAAGGACACAAAGAGGTCTCTCTCCCGCCCTCTCTCTGCACACAGCTCATTCAGTGTGAAAAATAAACCACGCTGCTAATTAAAGAAACACATTAAATGAAAATGCTGCCGAAACCGGTTTGGCTCAGTGGATAGAGCATGTACCTTGGTTGCGGGCACATCCCCAGTTGGGGGTGCGCAAGAGGCAGCTGATCGATGATTCTCATCGATGTTTCTAACTTTCTATCCCTCTCTCTTCCTCTCTGTGAAAAATCAATAAAATATATATTTTTAAAAAAATAATAATTCTTTAGGTGAGGGGATGGATATATATATAGATTTACACACACACACACTGCACTAATGGAGGAAACATCAGATGGCGAATCTCCTGGAAATCATTGTGCCAAAAAGAATGAAAATGCACATATCCCCTGACTCTGCAATTCTGCGTGTTCGCATTTATTCTCAGGAAACAAGCCAGCAGAAAGGTGCAGATGTTTGACGGCAGCACTGACTGGGGAAAACAGAACCAACAGGCCAGAGCGAGAATCTCCCGGTTTTGATTTTTCAGTAATACATCTGCCCTACGTGCTACACACACATTAGAAAGCATACACAAAAAATAAAAATTTAAAGGATAAACAGAAATTCTAACAGTTTCTTCCCACATCTCAGTGGTTCATCTTGAGCATCTCCTGGAAGAAGCACGTCTTACCTGGGGACACCAGGCCATCCGGTCAGCGATGAAGAGCAGCGCGGTGAGCTGGTGCAGAGAGCAGGGGAGTCGGTGGATTCTGTGAAAAGGGAAGCAGTCACGCCGTACAGAAACGGCTGACCGGGATGCAAAATGTTTCTGTTCTTGGGCCACAAGAAGTCGGGGAGCATAGTTTGGTCGGGGTTAAGTCTTGGTCAAGGCTGAATGAATCTTCTCACTCTTCCTCCCGCCTCTGGGCTCCCGTCCCAAGCTGATATTCTTAAAAGGAAAATCCACTTGGAAGTGAAGTCAACAGTACTTATTATAAAAGCTGAAGACACCTGGTCTAATTAGTGAGCCTTGGGGCAAGGTCTGAGGAGTTTGAAAGAGGCAAGAGGTAAGGGAAGGAACCCTAGTTATCTGTAAAGAGAGTCAGAGCCTGCAAGCTCAGAACTCAATTCCATTTCTCCTGCTGCTTCGGGCAGATGCGGGGAATCACCGGGTGGGCGGCAGCAATGCTGCCAGGGGAAGCCCCGGACACAGAAAGCGTGCTCCCCAGGAACCCACATGCAGCCTGAGCCGCAGCGACACAGACCCTGCTGCTCGCTGCTCTTCCCGCCCTGAGGAAGGAGGGACGAGGAGGTGCAGGGGAGGACAGGTCCTCCTGGAGCTTGTCATCAGCCACAAGAGCAAGCACTGGGGCTGTGCCGTGCGCCTTAGAGAAGCGGAGGCGGATTCAGGAAAGGCTCTGAGGGCCCCAGGCGCACTGAAAGGGAATGCCACCTTGGGAAGTTCTCGCTGGCTTCAGAATTGTTTCCTTCCTTTATGAAATCAGAAAACAGGAACAAAGTTGTAGCAAACACCCCCTTCCATCCCTCCAGAGGGCATGGCAGGAGTAAGGGGTGAGGCACGTTCTGGCTCTGTGAGGGGCCCCAGCGGAGTGCCCTCCTGCTGAGTGCTCCCTCCATGCGGGCCGGCTGCTATCCATGGGCTGAGTAAGTCCTCCTGGCTGGCACCTCCGTGGCTTCCCTGAAACAAGTGGGAACATACCAGCCTCTAAGAGGACGGCTAAGGAGGCTCCCGCCAGGACAGTTTCCACCCAGGGGCCGTTAGCTGTTCCGGCTTCTGCTAGTGACCTCACTGCAGGGACACTTTGGGGAGACTGGCTTAGAAAGCCTGGAAATTCAGCAAGCGGCCGATAAGTTTAACACGCCATGCACAAAGGGTTCCTCTCCATAAGAGTACAACTGCAAACTGTAAGAAAAGATTCCATTCCTCAGAACAAAACAAAAAAGCTACCAGAAATAAAGCCAACACAAAACACGCCATTTAAACTGCTTCTACACGGAAAACAGCATGAGACTTACCCGACAGGCACAAAAACAAACCAAAGCGGTGAGACATGCGACTTTCCTGGATGATAAAGTTTGGCGTCATAACCACAGCCCGACCCTCGTAGCTCAGTTGGTTAGAGCGTCATCCAGAAACATAAGGCTGTGGGTTCAATCCCCAGTAAGGGCACATACAACAATGAACCAATGAATGCATAAATGAGTAGAACAACAAATCAATATTTCTCTAGCAAATCAATAAATAAAAATAAAAAAGTCTAGCCTTGGCCAGGTAACGCAGTTGGTTGGAAGGTTGTCCCACACACCAAAATGTTGCAGGCTCACTCCTGGTCAAGGCACACATCTAGGTGGTGGGTTTGGTGTCCGGTCACCGCACATATGGGAGACAACCGATCCATATTTCTCTCTCACACTGGTATTTCTCCCTCTCTCTCCTCTCTCCTCCCTCCATCCCTCCCCAGCCCCATCTCTCTCTCTCTCCCTCTCTCTCTCTCTCTCTCTCTCCCTCTCTCTCTCTCTCTCTCTCAAAAACATATCCTCAGGGGAGTACTGGAAATAAAAAGTATATTCTTGCCCAGGGTGGTTCAGTGGTTGAGCAACAGCCCATGAACCAAGATTGCAAGTTGGATCCTCAGTAGGGGGCGTGCAGGAGACACCAATCAATGATTCTCTTTCCTTGATGTTTTACTAATATTTTTAAAAAATATATTTTATTGATTTTCAACAGAGAGGAAGGGAGAGAGATGGAGAGCTAGAAACATCGATGAGAGAGAAACATCAACCAGCTGCCTCCTGCACACCCCTCACCAGGGATGTGCCCGCAACCAATGTACATGCCCCTGACTGGAATCGAACCTGGGACCTTTCAGTCCGCAGACCGACGCTCTATCACTGAGCCAAACCGGTTTCGGCTACTAATATTTTTTAACTGGCAGATTAAAAACAGCCCCAAAGAAAAATGGGAAAAGGACATGATAAAGCAACTAATAGAACAGGAAATTAAAATGGCCAAAAAACATTAAAAAATGCTCAATCTCACAGGTAATCTGGAAAACGGACACTTAAAAAATGAAACATTTTTGCCGGGACCAGTTTGGCTCAATGGATAGAGCGTCGGCTTGGGGACTGAAGGGACCCGGGTTCGATTCCGGTCAAGGACATGTACCTTGGTTGCGGGCATATCCCCAGTAGGGGGTGTGCAAGAGGCAACTGATCGATGACTCTCTCTCATCGATGTTTCTAACTCTCTATCTCCCTTCCTCTCTGTACAAAATCAATAAAATATATTTAAAAAAATGAAACATTTTGCTGAACAGACTGGTCACAATTAAAAGGGTAGGGTAGGGTAGGGATGTGCAGGAGGCAGCTGGTTGATGTTTCTCTCTCATCGATGTTTCTAGCTCTCTATCCTTCTCCCTTCCTCTCTGTAAAGAATAAATAATAATAATAATAATAAAAGAAATATAAGAGATTGTAAGAAAATACTATGAACAACTATTAATATATGCCAATAAGCTGGACAATATGGATGAAGTGGACAAATTCCTAGAAAAATACAATCTTTCAAAACTGAATCAGGAAGAAATAGAAAACCTGAATAGGCCAATAAAACTAATGAAATAAAAGCAGTAATAAAAATGTCCCAGCAAACAAAAGCCTGAGTCCAGACGGACTCACAGGGGAGTTTATCAAACCTTCAAAGAACAACTAACACCTCTACTCCTAAAACTATTGCAAAACGTCCCAGAGAAAAGAACACTTCGAAGCTCTTTTTCTGAGGCCAGCATTATCCTAATTCCAAAACCAGATAAATTCACTACGGAGAAAGAGAATTACTGGCCAATGTCCCCGATGAACATAGATGCTAAAAGCCTCAAATATCAGCAAATCGGATCCAGAAATATAGTAAAAAGATCATACATCATGACCAAGTAGAATTCATTCCAGGTAAGCAAGGCTGGTACAATATTTGTAAATCAATAAATGTGATACTTCACATAAACAAATTGAAAGACAAAAATCACATGATCATATAAATAGATGCAGGAAAAGCATTTGACAAAAATCCAATACCCATTTATAAAAACTCTCAGCAAAGTGAGATAGAGGGAGCATATTTCAACATGATAAAGGCCATATATGACAAACCTTCACCCAACATCATACTCAATGGGCAAAAGCTAAAACCATCTCCCTAAGAGCAGGGATGTCTGCTTCACCACTCTTATTCAACAAAGTACTGGAAGAACAACAAGTCAATATTTCTCTAGCAAATCAATAAATAAATAAAAAAAGTCTAGCCTTGGCCAGGTAACGCAGTTGGTTGGAAGGTTGTCCCATACACCAAATAAAAGGCATCCAAATTGGAAAGGAGGAACTAAAACTCTCATTATTCACAGATGACATGATATTGTACATAGAAAATCCGAAAGACTCCACCAAAAAACGACTAGACTTAATAAATGAAATTGGCAATGGAGCAGGATACAAAATCAACACCCGAAATCTATGGTTGTTTTGTACAGCAATAATGAATTCTCAGAAAAGAAACTAAAACAGTCCCACTTACCACTGCAACAGAAAAAATTAAGATACTTAGGAATAAACTTAACCAAGGAAGCAAAAAAAAAGTATAATCAGAAGCAAAATCAAAGGACAAAGAAAACGATAAATCACTGTAACTGCTTTCATATTAAAATATTTATTTTTCTAAAAGATCACACAAAAGTTGGGAAGAGAAAGAGGATGTCAACTAGTCTACACCGAAGTCCGGGCGGACGAGGACAAAGAGCTGCCTAAGGAAACGGAGCTGGAGCCGGGGCACAGGGAGCAGCCCCGTGTGCCCGTCACTCCCTCCGGGCAGGGAGGAGCAGGCTCACTCTTTAGACATGCTCTTGATGGTCTTGTGCTCCTTCATGGCCTTCTCCCAGTCGCTGCCATTGAATTCCTCGATGACCATGCTCCGCACAGTGCCCTCGTCCAGGCAGTGTGGGGCGATGCCTGGGGGTGGCAGAGAGAGGGGTTTCCTGGGTGATGAGACCAGGGGCTCTCCTGGCTCTTGCACAAGCCCACACCTGCAAGCGTCACAGGGCTGCATATGAGCTCACAGCTCCTGCTTGCTTTCCTCGTCTCTGGGACGGGATCTGACTTCTCAGCCAGGGAGGCCACGGCTGGCCATCGGGCAGGACAGGCTGAGGGCAGAGCAGAAAGACGCCGCCTGGAGCAACCTCTGACTCACAGTCTGCGGCGTCCCCAGGCCTCCTCTGGCTGAGACAGGTGCTTCTAAGCATTAAATGCCGCCCCATCGATACAGGAGTTACCACCGTCCCAGAGCCCTCCTGTGCCTCGAGGTGGGAGAAGGGCGTCACCGCGGGGACAGACAGCAGCTGCTCCGAGAAATGGGCAGCAGAGCAGGCGGTGCCAGGCCCTCCCCACGCGAGGCAGTCAGGCCGCTGCCCGCTCTGGAGGCTGCGCTTCCGGGAACACAGCCCCTGGGCGCCGCCCTCGCCGCTGCTTCAGTTCACTCGGCAATGGCGTCATGGAACCACCAGCTAAAGGCTGTTTCTGCCTCCAGATCAAGGCCAGGGAGAGGGACTTGGGGGGGGGGGGGGGGTCTCCTGTTTCTATTTTGAACCAAAAAATTTGAATGGCATTATCACTGCCTCCTTATCCCTTTACCCACCGTTGCTACCCCCTTCCCACAGCCCCCATCTCTCCCGATTGCTGTCCCCAGTGCCAGCCCTGGAGGCAGCTGGCAGCACCAGGATGAGGTCAGGTGGGGCTGGCGTCTGATCGACCAGAACCGGGCTTCCATCCAGCGTCTGTTCCGGCGTCTGTTCCTCTGAAACAGGCATGTGGGAGGGCCTCCACGCTGGGGCACGCCGAGCCCGCAGCGCCCACCGTGCACCGGCCTTTGCCCAGAGCAGCCGGTGGCGGGAGCCGCGCTGTGGTCCCGGTACTCACCGAAGCCGCCGGGGTTGGAGCGGGGCGTGTAGAAGCTCTGCACCCCGCACCTCTTGCAGAAGGTGTGCTGCGCCTTGTGGGTGTTGAACGTGTACGTGGTTATGCTCTCCGCTCCCTGAGGGAAAACACACAGACAGTGTCCTCTTCCACCAAGAGACGTTTATTTCCCACTTAAAAGTCTATCTTTCAAAAGGCTCAACGGGTTAGGCAGCCTCTGTAGGGCCCTGGGAGGAGGAGCCCTGGGACACACCGATCTCTCAGGAAACCGCCTGCACGGCCAGGAGCCGCGTGTGGACGGGCCCTGTGCTGGGGAAGGGCAGCTTGCGCCTCCTCGCAGGCCAACCGCACCCAGAGCGGCCCAGCCTGTGTCCCCGTCACAGCCGGCAGCCGGGGCATCAGGGCGGGAAACGCCACTTTCCAGCCCAGGGAGCCGCAGCTTAGCTCGGCCTGGGACTGGCCTCCACGTCCCCACGCGGCTGCTGACGGTCTTGAGAAAACCTTCATCTGTGAAGAGCAAACTAAGAAGAGTACTTGCCAGACATCAGAGACAAAAGACTAATTTCCCAAATGGATAACAAATGAAAAATTGGACAAAAAACATGAACAAACAGCGCCCAAAGTGCAAGGTTGAGGGTTTGATACCCAGTCAGGGCACCGACAAGAATCAGCCAGTGAGCGCACAAATAACTGGAACGAGAAGTTGATGTTTCCCCCTCCCCCTTTCTTCTCTCTCTAGTCCATAAATAAGAATTAAGAAAAAAAATAAATAGCTCTGTAACCTGTGAAATGGTGTTTACACTCACGAACTGCGATGAGGCGTTTTTCTGTCGGGGCCAATGTAAAAGCAGTTTAACAGTATGAGGAGCACATGGGGAACATCGCTCCACGGACCAGCTGTGAGAACACACACTGGTGAGTTCTGACAACAGTTTTTTTTTTCTTAATATCTTCCTGGTGTCTTTATTTTATTTTATTGTTTTATTTTTTTAAATAAATTTTTATTGTTCATATTATTACAAATGTTCCTTTCCCCCCCCTTCTCACCCCACCCTCTGCCCTTTCCCCACCCCCCATTGTCCTCATCCATAGGTGCACAGTTTATGTTCAGTCTCTTCCCACATCCCCCTCTCCCCTTTTCCCCAAGAATAAACAGTTCACTCCCCTTCCATACCTCTGATTCTATTATATTCAACAGTTAATATTGTTCATCAGATTTTTTTTTTTTTTAGTTTCCTTGGTTTTTAGATTCACTTGTTGATAGTTACGTATTTGTTGTTCATAATTTTTATCTTTATTTACTTTCTCTTCTGAAAGAACCCCCTTCAGCAATTCATATAATTCTGGTTTGGTGGTGATGAACTCCTTTAGCTTTTTTTTATTAGTGAAGCTCTTTATCTGACCTTCGAATCTGAGTGATAGCTTTGCTGGATAGATTATCTTTGGCTGTAGGTTCTTATTATTCATCACCTTGAATATTTCTTGCCATTCCCGTCTGGCCTGCATGGTTTCTGTTGAGAAATCAGCTGACAATCGTATAGGTGCTCCTTTATAGGTAACTACCTTCTTTGCTCTTGCTTCTTTTAATATTCTCTCTTTGTCTTTTGCTCTTGGAATCTTAATTATGATTTGTCTTGGTGTGGTCCTCTTTGGATTCCTTTTGTTTGGAGTTCTGTGCGCTTCCTGGACTTGTAAGTCTAATTCTTTCACCAGGTGGGGAAAGTTTTCTGTCACTATTTCTTTCAGTATGTTTTCGATATCTTGCTCTCTCTCTTCTTCTGGGACCCCCATAATTCTGATGTTGGTTCGCTTGAAGTTGTCCCAGAGGTTTCTTACATCATCTTCAACTTTCTGGATTCTCTGGCCTTCTTGCATCTGCGGAGGAGTGTCTTCTGGCTCTTTATGTTCCAAATCTTTGACTTGATTCTTGCGATCTTCCATTCTGTTTTTAGGACTCCATAAAATATTTTTTATTTCAGACAATGTATTCTTTATTTCTTGTTGATCCCTTATTATTTCTAGTTGATCCCTTTTCATATCCTCATAGGTCTTGTTTATTTTATCGGCCTTTTCTAGGAGATTCTTGAACAACCTTATAAGTGTGGTTTTGAACTCTATATCCAGTCGCTTTTTGTCCTCCATTTCTTTTGTTTGTGATCTATTTGGTTTAGGCATTTTCGCAGGCAGCTTTCCTGATGGGGCGGGGTTTCAGGGTGGAGCCTACAGCCTTGGCTTCCGTCAGCCCCGCCCTATGCGACTCCTGAGACTCAGGGTCCTTCAGTACTTGTTGCGAGCGCCTCTGAGAGAAAGGTGCCCTCGATTTTCGCCTCCTGCCAAACTGTCTATGCTCTCCCCCAATGAGTCCGGTTTTGGGGTTCAGTTCAGTTGGTAGTGGGATTGGAGGTGGCGTTCAGAGCAGTCTGGAGCCCCTGTCTCCTTCCCGTTAGGGCAATCCCACGGCACAGCCAGCCGGCCCTTCTCTGCTCGCAGTGTGCGCGCCTCCGGGACCTCCTTTCGCCACTTCCCCGGAGTCCCGCCTTACAGCCCGGCTCCCTATGGATGAGCCTGGGTCCCCGGGGTCTGGCCTAGAATTGGGGTTCAGAGCAGTTGGAGCTGGGCCCAGCACAGTCGGAGCTTTTCTCTCCTTCCCGCTTGGGACCGCCAGCCAGGCACTCGGCCTCCCTCCTCTCCGGCTCTGTCCTCTCGGCGCGCGCCATGTGTCTCCGTACCTTGGGCTTTTACAGCTCCTCCGCGCTTCCTTCTGGTTTTCTCCTTGCTTCTCGTTGTAGAATTTCCAGTCAGTCGACTTTCCTGTAGTTCTGGGTAATGTCCATTTTATATTTTAGTTGTATTTTGTTGAAATTGTTGTGTGCGGCTGCAGCTAGTTGCCTACCCGAGCAGCCATCTTGGATTCTCTCTTCCTGGTGTCCTTTCTGACATCAACATTTTAAATGGACATCCTTTAACACAGCAACGCCCCTGCTAGGAATGTCTCCCCAGCAAGAACTCCCTGTGTGCAATGGCACATGCACACGGACAGTACAGCCTGCCTGGAAAGGCTGAGGATTGAGCAAACTGACCGCGCCCACCAACAGAAGACCAGTTGGAGCATTACAGACATAACATGGGGTCCTCTGCGACTTTCCCAAACAACGAGGCAGTTCCACCCACAAACACTAATCGGGAATCTTCTCTACGGTCACCAAGTTAGTGAAAAGGCAAAGTGTGTAACAACTTTTTGTAGTAGACAACCATTTCTATTTTTTAAAAAGGATACACATACTTGTGCGCTGTGTGTGCACGTGTGTGTGCACGTGTGTGTGTGTGTGCACGGGTGAGGGCTGGGGTGGAGGTTTTCTTATGCTTCATCCCCCGCTGCCAGAACAGCCTGGAGCTTGTGTCTCCTGTAAAAACAGTTCCCTCAGGAGTCCCGCCCCCTGCCCACGGCCACTTCACCAGAGAAGCTGCAGAGAACAGCCAGTGGTCCTGCAGCAGCTCAGTGACCTGATTACACAATTCGCCCAGAAGTGACCGAGCAGGGAGCTGCTCACACCGGCTGCACCGTTCACCATGAGGTCACCAGAGGTCACCATGACACCCGTCCTCACTCCCTCGCCATGCTGTGTGCCCACCAGCCTGGCCACAACCCTCCTCCCACAGAGGCGCACAGCCCGTCATCACTTCTGTCTCAGGCCCAATCACACTCACCACGGGCAGCATCTTGACAAATCCAACGGGCACTTCTCTTTTTTTTTTTTAATATATATTTTATTGATTTTGTACAGAGAGGAAGGGAGAGAGATAGAGAGTTAGAAACATCGATGAGAGTCATCGATCAGCTGCCTCTTGCACACCCCCTACTGGGGATGTGCCCGCAACCAAGGTACATGCCCTTGACCGGAATCGAACCCGGGACCCTTCAGTCCCCAAGCCGACGCTCTATCCACTGAGCCAATGGGCACTTCTCTTGACCACTGGCTTTTAACTTGCTCTTCTACTAACTGCTCAGAACCACGCCTTCCATTTAGAATGGTCTCTGAGGACCCGCTCTCCTGTTCCTGCCCTCCCCCGGCTTACTAATGCTGGCGGGCCCAGGAGCCGTCCTCGCCCTCTCCCTTCTTCGGCGACACCCTCTGCGGCTGGCCCACCGGCCTCCTAACTCTAAGCACCAGCAATGAGCCGGCCTCGCCAAACCGGCAGCTGCAGCTCTGCTCTCTCTCCAGACTCACATCCAGCTCCCACCTCCTAGCTCTGTAGGTTTGTCCAAAAGATAACTTCAACCGAGCTTTTTCTGAAAAGAACTCTTGATTTCAGCATCTTACCACTTCTCGCCCGGGATCTGGCATCTCTGTCCGCTGCGCTGGTCAGGCCCAACACTGCGGATGAGCTTTGCTCTCTCGTCCTCTTCGCCCCAGTCCTTCAGAGTCTGAGCAGCCTTCTCTGCAGCAGCAGCTCTCAGCGCGGTCCTCACCACAAGCATCACATGAACGCGTGCGGAATGTCCATCTTCCTCCCCATCCCAGCCCACGGTCAGGAGCGGGGCTCGGCCACCTGTTCAGCATGCCCTCTAGGTGGCGGTGCACACTGAGGTGTGAGACCCACTGCTCTAAAACATCTGTCAATTACCAATTCAAACATCTCTCCAGCCATGGCCAATGCTGGTCAGTGGTTAGAGCGTCATCCCGTGCTCTAAGGATTGTGGGTTCAATTCCCAGCCAGGGCACATATCCAGGTTGTGGGTTCAATTCCTGGTTAGGGGGCGTACAGAAGTAGGCAACCAATCAATGTTTCTCTCTCACATCCATGTTCCTCTCTCCCCATTCCTCTCTCTAGAATAAAGAAAAAAAGTACATCTCCAATTATCTGTTTTCTTTCCATCTCCATGACTACCGTCCTAATCCAAGTTCCCATCATCTCTCACCTGACCCGCCATGACAACCTCTTAGCTATCGCCGTCTGCACCTTACCTCCTTTCCAGCCAGTCTGCACCCCACACCAAAGTGAGCTTTTAAAACCCGAGGCAGGCCCTGTCACTGCCCTGCTTCTGCCCGCCAGTCCAGGAACTTCACACTACACCGGAGGAAAGCTACCTCTCTGCTGCGCTCTCTCCAACCACCCTGTTTCCCCCTCCTTTTCCCTCCCCTCCCGTCCCTCCTGCACTGCTTTCTCTCTGCTGGGGGGGACTCCGCCCCGCACCCCCTTCATCCTGAGAACTGAGCCGGGGGACCTTTCCTGCCAATCTACGCCGGCCCCGTGCCATCTGCCGTGCCCTCTGCTTCCCCTCGTTCCACAGCGACCGGCCTTCTCGCTCAGTCCTTCTGGCCCCTCCACAGCCTGTCAGCTCCGAGGCGGACCTCTCTGCCTGCCAGCTGCTGGGCTTCGGGGAGCAGTGCCTGTACACAGGAGGTGACCCCTGTGTACTTGTTGAATGAATTGATAAGTTCTGTACTTACTTTAAAAAAACACACACACACACACACAATATGGACATATATGAATCACTGCACCTTGTATCTGAGCCTAACACAATGTTGGGTGTTAATTCAGAGTGAATGAATAAGCCCTGGGATGCACCTGGGATGTGGGGTGGCACATAAGTGGAACAAATCGATGTTGCTCTCTCTCTCTGTGTGTCTCACAAAATCAATAACAATTTTCTTAATTAAAAAGAATAAATAAATACAAAAAAAAAAAAAAAAAAAAGCAGAAACTTGTTCCCTCAACAGACTGGAGCGGAAGAAGAGAATGGCTCTGGAGCACCGGGAGAACGCACTGGTAAGCAAGTCCCGGAAGAAAAATACCAGCTCAAGACCCAGAGCCCCAGCCGCACCCACTGTGTCTTCAAACACCGTCCGCCCGGGGGCCGGAGCACGGGGACGGCCCGCAGCCCCAACACCGTCCGCCCGGGGGCCAGAGCACGGGGACGGCCCGCAGCCCCAACACCGTCCGCCCGGGGGCCGGAGCACGGGGCCGGCCCGCAGCCCTAACACCGTCCGCCCGGGGGCCGGAGCACGGGGACGGCCCGCAGCCCCAACACCGTCCGCCCGGGGGCCGGAGCACGGGGCCGGCCCGCAGCCCCAACACCGCCCGCCCGGGGGCCGGAGCACGGGGACGGCCCGCAGCCCCAACACCGTCCGCCCGGGGGCCGGAGCACGGGGACGGCCCGCAGCCCTAACACCGTCCGCCCGGGGGCCGGAGCACGGGGCCGGCCCGCAGCCCCAACACCGTCCGCCCGGGGGCCGGAGCACGGGGCCGGCCGCAGGCCTCGGAGGGGAGTGCGGGCAGTCCTCGGGAGTCGGGAAGACGGGAGAGGAAAGACGAAGGACCAGGGCAGACAAGCAACAGGAGACAGATCAGCCCGAAGTCCGGGGAGGGAGCCCCTCACTGCCCAGGCGGCGGGGACCACGCGCTTGTCCTCTGTCTGTCCTGGGCTGCAGACAGGGAGCAGGACCAGAGCCGGGCCTGGAGCCGGAGGGCGGAGGGCAGGGACACTGCACGCGCACAGCCATGTCTGTCCCTTCCAGATGCTGCCCGAGAACAAAATAAAGTCCCACAGGAACAAGGTTTAAAAACCTTATGTTTTTCACTGGGAAATGCTAAAGTACAGTACTTAGAAAACAGAGAAGTAAAATCCTACTTTGATAAAAGACAAAATACATGTTTAGATGGATCGATCTGTGTAGAAAATCATACACAAGATATACACCAAAATATTAAGTGATTACCTAGTTGACAGGATCTGGGTGATCTTATTTATTGGAAAATGTTTCCTCAGTATTATCAAATAAGCATCCAAAATATAAAGGAAAAAGTAACGAGCTTTTACAATAACCATGGAGCCGGGTGACCAGGGACATGACCGCCCAGAGAGCCGTGCCGCTCCTGGTCCCGCGGACTCCCCCCGGGGCTGCCATCGCAGGGACTCACCACGGCTCCGCCTCTCCAGCCCTGCTCTCAGCACTAACCTTCAGGAGCTTGAAGCGAGAAGCAGGAACAATGAAGTGTCTGTTCTGCTTCTTCTTGCAGACACTGCAGCTGCAGAAAGACAGAGGCCCAGACTGTGAACAGCCTCCGCCCCTGAGTGCCCGGGCCCCACCGATAGGGGCTGAGCTGGCTGACCCAGGAGGCTCGCAGCGAAACTGGCCGCCTGGGCTCTGCCGAGGCCCCCGGCAGCAGTGGGGACCACCATCCCCTTTGAAGACCCTGGCTGAGACCACGTGTCTGTCACCCACCCCCGCTTCATGCAGGGAGCTGTCGTTCTAGACACACTGACACCACGCATAGAGGCAATCTTCCACCTCTGGGAGAGCCACCCCAAAATGGACAGAAAGATTGCGTGTCCCTCTTTGCTCATCTGCTCCTCACAGCAAGCCTCGCTCCAGGAAAAACAGGTCCTCAGAGGACCCTCTGTGGAGCTAAATGTAAGCCCTCTCTTTTCAGCCCACCTTTTTAAAAAATTATAATTTAGTACAGAGTCCTCCGCACCGGAAGAGCCTCTAATCCTCTGGCATCGAGGCCATGGTGCTTCTTCAGTCTAGACTCCACTTTATAGCCTGGTCAGGCCCATGGCATTTTTTTCACATAAAACTCAGGGACCACCTAAGGACAAAAGGTCCACACGACGGAGCCTGTCCCTGTTCTGTCCCAATGCCAGGGACGGCGCTGGAAAGCACCTCCACCTGGAAGAGCCCAGCGAGAGGCCGGAGCATGGCGTGTACCCCCCTCACTCTCCCTCCCCCCAACTCTGAAGACTCTGCCCAAGGCCTTCCTTCAGTGCCCAGACTGACCCGCTTCAGCCACCACTGCGCCACCCACCAGTCTGGGGGTGACTCTGCCAGGTGCAAGCCAGAGGACCCTGCTCCGTGTCACCTGAGTGGTACTATAGCAGTGCGCGCGCTCGCTCTCTCCCTCCCTCTCTCTCTCCCCCCCCCCCTCTCTCTCTCTTTCACTCACTTATGCATACACACTCACATACAGAACAGACTCAGTTTTTAGCCTCCATTTTTTAAAAAAATGTTATTATTAAAAACCTCTGGCCCTGGCTGGTTTGGCTCAGCGGACAGAGCGTCAGCCTGCAGACTGAAGGGTCCTGGGTTTGATTCCAGTCCAGGCTCGAGGTCTGGCCCTGGCCAGGGTGTGTAAGGGAGGGAACCACCCGATGTGTCTCTCTTACGTCGATGTTTTCTGTCTCTCCCCCTCCCTTCCACTCTCTCTAAAAATCAATGGATAAATTTCCTCAGGTGAGGGTTAACTACAAAAAAACCCACAAAAACAAAGTGAAACTTCTAGCCCCAGCCAGTGGGGCTTACTTAGTAGGCTGGAGCAGTGGTCAGCAAACTCATTAGTCAACAGAGCCAAATATCAACAGCACAACAATTGAAATTTCTTTTGAGAGCCAAATTTTTTTTAACTTAAAACTTCTTCTAACGCCAATTCTTCAAAATAGACTCGCCCAGGCTGTGGTATTTTGTGGAAGAGCCACACTCAAGGGGCCAAAGAGCCACATGTGGCTCACGAGCCGCAGTTTGCCGACCACAAGACTGGAGCATTGTCCTGCACAATGAAAGGTCACAGGTTTAATCCCAGTCAAGGCACATACCTGCGTTGCAGGTTCAATCCCTGGTTGGGGCTCCTATGCCCTCCTATGGGACGCAGCCGATTTGTGTTTCTCTCTCACATCAATGTTTCTCTCTTTCTCTAAAAATCAATGAACATATCCTCAGTGAGGATTAAAAACAAAATTTTAAATTAAAAAAAAACAAACAACTTCTAGTACACACAACAGGGACAATAGGACAATGAACCCTTATGTACATATCATCCGAGTCCAACAATTACCAACTGCATGTTGTCCCATCTATCCCCCGTGCCCAGGAAACTGAGGCACCGCCTAACTCCGAACCTTTGAACAACAAGGGAAGAGAAAACACGCACTTGCAGTCAAAGATGTGCAGGTCTGCAGAGGCCCAGACTTCAAAGCGGACCGCTCCACAGTGGCAGCCTCCCGTGTGCTTCACCAGGCCCTGGTATTCACTACAGGAAACAGAAAATCGGTAAGATAAGGATTTCTGAGGTGCAGCAGAGCTCCCTAACACAGCCACAAACCCAAACAGGCAGCCAAAAGGGGGAGACAAAAGAAACAACCCACAAATAAAAGAACTAGAGAATTATCCAGAAGAAGAAATAAATGAAACAGAGAGAAGAAATTTATCTGATATAGAGATTAGAAAATGATGTTAACGAGGATCAACAGCATGAGAAAAGATATACCGTATTTTTCGGACCATAAGACGCACTTTTTCCCCCCCAGAAGTGGGGGGGAAAAGTCCCTGCGTCTTATGGTCCAAATATAGCCTACACATATACTTTAAAAAAAGTTTTTTTTACTTGCCCGGCTCTGTGTGGTCTCTGTGTGCTTGCCCGGCTCTAAAATGGTTCTAAATGCTGCTGTTTACTTTACAGGGTTGATTACATGTGTTTATGACTGTGATGTTGAGTTTTAATGCACATAAAATATTTTAGGACACTATTTGTTTCAGAATCTTTTTTTTTTTCATTTCCCTTCTCTAAAAACTGGTGCGTCTTATGGTCCGGAGCGTCTTATGGTCCGAAAAATACGGTAGTAACTATGAAAACAGAAAGAATGACATAGCACAAATAAAGAACACACAAATAAAGGAATACATAGCAGATCAGATGAAGCTGAGGATCAAATCAGTGAATTGGGTGACAGGATTGAAAAAAAATCACTCAATCAGAGAACTAAAAAAGAAAAAGGCAGCCAAAACTGGTTTGGCTCAGTGGATAGAGTGTCGGCCTGCACACTGAAAGGTCCCGGGTTCGATTCTGGTCAAGGGCATGTACATTGGTTGTGGGCACATCCCCAATGGGAGATGTGCAGAAGGCAGCTGGTCGATGTTTCTCTCTCATCAATGTTTCTAGCTCTCTATCCCTCTTCCTTCCTCTCTGTGGAAAATCAATAAAATATATTTTTTTTAAAAAACAAAAAAACAGGAGGACAGCTGTGGGATAATGTGAAACGTAACAATATTAGAATAGCAGGTGTGCCAGAAGAGGCAGAAAGGGAGAAAGGGATAATGGCAGAAAACTTCCATAACCTGGTAAAGGAAAAAGTCACACAAGTCCAAGAGGCACAGAGAACCCCAAGCAAGAAGAACCCAAACAGACCTATGTCCAGACACATCATAATTAAATTTCCAAAATTAAAGACAAAGAGAGAATCTTAAAGGCAGCAAAAGAAAAGCAAACTGCTACCTACAAAGGAGTTCCCATAAGGCTGACACCTGATTTCTCATCAGACACTCTACAGGCCAGAGGGAATGGCACGAAATACTTAATGTAATGGGAAGCAAGGATCTGAGACCAAGATTACTATACCAGCAAGGCTATAGTAATTCAAGTGCACATTCAAAATAGACGGTGAAATAAAGAGCTTCCTGAACAACAACAACAAAAGGCTAAAGGAGCACATCACCACCAAGTCAGCATTACAAGAACTGCTAACGGGACTGCTGTAATGAGAAGAAGAAACAGAGAGAAACCTGGGCATACAGAATTAAAATGGCATAAATAAGTACCTCTCAATAATAACCCTAACTGTAAATGGATTAAATGCTCCAGTCAAAGATTTAGGTTAGCTGAATTTTTACAAAAACATAACCGCACTACGTGCTGTCTCCAATAGACCCACCTCAGAACAAAAGACACACACAGGATGAAAGTGAAGGAATGGGAAAAAATGGAAAAGAAAAAAAGCTGGAGTAGCAATACTCATCTCTGACAAATTAGACTTCAAAATGAAGGCCATCACAAGAGACAACAAAGGTCACTACCTAATACTAAAGGGATGGATTCAAAAACAGGATATAATCCTGGGAAACATATATGCACTCAATATAGAAGAACCTAAATATATAACAAAACTTCTAGAGGACTTTAAGGGAGAGATCAACAGCAACATAGTCATAGTAGGAACTTTAACGCCCCTCTGACTTCACTGGGTAGATCTTCCACACAAAAACTTAGTAAGGAAACAGTGACTCTAAAGGACACACTTTTGATCAGATGGATTTAATTGACATTTATATACCATTTCACCCCAAAACTGCAGAACAGACATCAAGCACATGGATCATTCACAAAGATAAACCACATGTTAGGACACAAAACAAGTCTCTACAAGTTCAAGAAGACTGAAATCATTTCAAGCATCTTCTCAGATCCCGTGGAATGAAATTAGAAAACAACTACAGTAAAAACTACCAAAACATTCAAACACATGGAGGCATTTAATCCATTTACAGTTAGGGTTCAAACACAATAAGTAACAAGTTATTAAACAATGATGGGTTACCACTGAGATCAAGAAAGAAATTAAAAATTTCCTGGGAAGAAATAAAAATGAGTACACAATAACCCCAAATCTCTGGGATACAGCAAAAGCAGTCCTGAGTTCATAGCATTACAGGCCTACCTCAAAAAACAAGAAAAATTATCAATAAGCTATTAAACACTACAACTTAAAGAATTTTAGAGAACAACAAGAAAAGCCCAGAGTTAGTAGAAGAAAGTAAATAATAAAGATTAGAGCAGAAATAAATGACACAGAGACTAAAATAAATACACACACATACACACACCAATGGTTCTTTGAAAAAATAAACAAAATTGATGAACCATTAGCCAGATTCATCAAGAAACAAAGAGAGAGGACCAAAATAAATATAATCAGAAATGAAAGTAGAAAGAAACCACTGACACCACAGAAATACAAAGGATTTTAAGGAAATACTATGAACATCTATATGCCAACAAGGATAGATCAAGACAATATGGATGAAATGGACAAATTCCTAGAAAAATACAATCTCCCAAAACTGAATCAGGAAGAATCAGAAAACCTGAATAGGCCAATAACAACTGAGAAAATTGAAGCATAATAAAAATAAAAAAAACTTCTGGTAAATAAAAGCCCGGGTCTGGACATATTCATGGAGGAGTTTTACCAAACATTCAAAGCAAAACTAACACCTATCCTCCTCAGACTATTCTAAAAAATCCAAGAGGAAGGAAAACTTCCAAGCTCTTTTTATGAGGCCAGCATTACCCGACTTACAAAACTAGATGAAGACACTATAAAGCAAGAGAATTACTGGCCAATATCCCTGATGAACATAGATCCTAAAAGCCTCAACAAAATATCAGCAAATCAGATCCAGAGTATAGTAAAAAGATCATACACCATGACTATGATCATTCCAGGTATGCAAGGCTAGTACACATTTCACAAATCAGTAACATGATACATCACATAAACAAACTGAAAGACAAAAATCACATGATCATATAAATAGATGCAGAAAAAGCATCTAACAAAATCCAACACCCATTTTTAAAATAAAAACTCTCAGCAAAGTGGGAATAGAGGGAGCATATCTCAACATGATAAAGGCCATATATGACAAACCTACACCCAACATCATGCTCAATGGGCAAAAACTAAAACCATTTCCCTAAGAGCAGAACAAAACAGGGATGTCCGCCGGAACCGGTTTGGCTCAATGGATAGAGCATCGGCTTGGGGACTGAAGGGTCCCGGGTTTGATTCCGGTCAAGGGCATGTACCTTGGTTGCCGGCCCATCCCCAGTGGAGGGTGTGCAAGAGGCAACTGATCGATGACTCTCTCTCATCGATGTTTCTAACTCTCTATCTCTCTCCCTTCCTCTCTGTATAAAATAAATAAAATATATTTTAAAAACAACAACAACAACAAAAAAAAAAAACAGGGATGTCCGCTTCCACCACTCTAATTCAACAGAGCACTGGAAGTCCTGGCCACAGCGATCAGACAAGAAGAAGGAATAAGAGGCATCCACATAGGAAAGGAGGAAGTAAAACTCTCATTATTCACAAATGACATGATATTGTACATAGAAAATCCTAAAGACTCCACCAAAATTCTTCTAGGTTTAATAAATGAATTTGCAATGTAGCAGGATACAAAATCAACACCCTAAATCGATGGCTTTTTAACACATCAATAATGAACACTCAGAAAGAGAAACGAAACAAACAATCCCATTTACCATTACAATGAAAAAGTTAAAATACTTAGGAAATAAACTTAACAAAGGAGGCAAAAGACCTGTATTCTGAAAACTACAGGATATTGAAAAAAGAAATATAAACAAATAGAAGAATAAACCATGTTCATGGATTGGTAGAATCAACATCGTTAAAATGGCCATCCTACCCACGGCAATCTACAGATTCACTGCAATCCCTATTAAAATACCAATAGCAGATTTCACAGATCTAGAACAAATACTTCAAAAATTTATATGAAATCAAAAAGGACTCTGAGTAGCTGCAGCAATCTTGAGAAAGAAAAACAAGTTGGAGGAATCACAATACCAGATTTCAGGTTATACTACAAGGCCACCGTAATCCAAACACAAGAACAGGCATATAGACCGATGGAACAGAACTCAGACCCCAGAATCGACCCAAACCATCACGCTCAATTAATATTTGACAAAGGAGGCAAGAGCATACAATGCAGTCAAGAGACTCTCTTCAATAAATGGTGTTAGGCCGAAACCGGTTTGGCTCAATGGATAGAGCATTGGCCTGCGGACTGAAAGGTCCCAGATTCGATTCCAGTCAAGGGCATGTACCTTGGTTGTGGGCACATCCCCAGTAGGGGGTGTGCAAGAGGCAGCTGATTGATGATTCTCTCTCATCGATGTTTCTAACTCTCTATCCCTCTCTCTTCCTCTCTGTAAAAAAATCAATAAAATAGCCGAGACCGGTTTGGCTCAATGGATAGAGCGTCGGCTTGGGGACTGAAGGGTCCCGGGTTTGATTCCGGTCAAGGACATGTACCTTGGTTGCAGGCATATCCCCAGTGGAGGGTGTGCAAGAGGCAGCTGATCGATGACTCTCTCTCATCGATGTTTCTAGCTCTCTATCTCTCTCCCTTCTTCTCTGTACAAAATCAATAAAATATATTTAAAAAAATAAATAAAAAATGGTGTTAGGAAAATTGGACAGGTATATAAAAGAAATGAAACTAGACCACCAACTTAGACCATCTACAAAAATAAACTCAAAATGGCCGAAACCGGTTTGGCTCAGTGGATAGAGCGTCAGCCTGTGGACTGAAAGGTCCTGGGTTCGATGCAGGCACATCCCCAGTATGGGCTGTGTAAGAGGCAGCTGATAGATGATTCTCTCTCATCAATGCTTCTAACTCTCTATCCCTCTCTCTTCCTCTCTGGAAAAAGTCAATAAAATACATTTTAAAAAATATATAAAATAAAAATAAAAATAAACTCAAAATGGATGAAATACTTAAATGTAAGTCAGAAAACCATAAAAATCATAGAAGAGCCCAGCCGGCATAGCTTAGTGGTTGAGCGTTAGCCTATGAACCATGAGGTTATGGTTTGATTACAGGTTCGGTTCCAGTCAGGGCACATGCCCAGGTTGCGGGTTCGATGCCCAGTATGGGACGTGCAGGAGGCAGCTGACTGATGATTCTCTCTCATCATGGAGGTTTCTATCCCTCTCTCCCTCTCCCTTCTTCTCTGAAATAAATAAAAATAAAAAATGCAGCCGAAACCGGTTTGGCTCAGTGGTAGAGCGTCGGTCTGCGGACTGAAGAGTCCCAGGTTCGATTCCAGTCAGGGGCATGTACCTTGGTTGCAGGCACATCCCCAGTGGAGGGTGTGCGGGAGGCGGCTGGTCGATGTTTCTCTCTCATCGACATTTCTGGCTCTCTATCCCTTTCTCCTCCTCTCTGTAAAAAATCAATAAAATATATTTTAAAAAAATAAAAAATAAAAATAAAAATAAAAAATAAAAAATGCAAAAGAAAGCATTCCAAAAATTTTGGGACAAGGTCAGGTGGAGTTAGGGGTGGGAATTCTAATCCCACCACTTAAACATTTTTATTTACGTATGTCAAATATTTACTAAAAAATTGCCAACCAAGTGCACTGCAGTGGAAAGAGAGCAGTAAACAAGATACAGCAGATATGGTTCCTGGCCTTCAAACAAATTACCCAAATAAAGAAAGGCTGGGATTGAAATGACTGATAAAGGCGGCGCAGGCTGCTCTGGAAAAGAAAGACGATGCGCGCCAGCTGAGCTGAGGGTTCAGAAAAAAGCCTTCTGAAAAAGTAACAGCAGCTCTTACCATTTTGCTATATTCTCCTCCAGTATTTTCATATACATGAGTTTTACAAAGCCACACATATACATTCCATACAATTTTATCCTTTTAAAACTTATTATATTATGACTATGATGTGATAAATATCATCAAATTGCTTTCTAAAAGAGCTGGACAGTCTTCAGTAATGAATGGAAAACATTTCACTGTACCTTCTCAAGCAATAACTACAGGGAAAAACAGCTTGCAGTGTTAATCTGCATTTATTTGGTTATTAGGGGATGGTTAAAAGGGGAGGGGGAAGATGGGAGGGTATCCACTAGGATCTTGTAAAAATGTATGCATGGCCATAGACAGACAATGGGGCAAGCTGGCTGGGGTCCATCGGGGGAAAAGGAGACACATGTAATAATTTCAACAGGAATTATTAAAAATAATATATTTTTTAAAAAGGTGAAGGGGGTCCGCCGGCCTGGATCAGTGGTTGAGAGCTGACCTGTGAGCCAGGAGGTCGTGGTCAGGGCACATGCCCAGGTTGCCAGCATGCAGGAGGAAGCCAATCGATGATTCTCTCTCATCATTGATAATTCTCTCTCTCCCTCTCCCTTCCTCTCTGAAATCAATAAAAAGATATATTTTTTAGAAAGTGAAGGGGAATAAAGTAAGTCATGGGAATTTAAGGTCCAGCACAGGGAGTAAAAACACAGTAACTCTGTAGGGTGACAAAGTCATTATTAAACTTGTAGTGGCCACACCATAAGGCATATTAATATCGAATCACTGTGCTGTACACTGGACCTAATATATTGTGTCAACTATAATTTTTTTAAAGAATTGTAAAGACTTAATGCTTTATCATGTTTCTTTACAAGGTGAATCAGTAACTGTACATTCCTCTCGCATGTTAGTTAAAATGGTGAGTTTTGGGTTTTTATAAGTAAAAAAATATTCAGTCCAAAACGACAAAAAGTGAAGCACACAGAAAATCGAATAATCCGTCTCTGAGACTCATTCTCACGAAGAGAATTTCTTCTGGAACAAAGACAAGGAACATTCTTATTCAAGGAATTAGCCAATCGTTTTTTCCTAGGGTCTTGTCCTTTTTAATTCATAAAATAACCAACACTGAGAGATACTGGGGTGCTAAAATCTGTCTGTACAACCGCTCTACAGAGCCGGCCCGGCCGCTACCGCGTTTGGGGATAAGGGGAAGAGGCCAACACCGCGGGCCGGGCCGCCGCCGGAGCGGGGCCCTCCCCGCAGCAGCGGGGAAGGAGCACAAAGACCTGCGCCTCCCGCGCTCCCCGACCCTCCCGCCCCGCTCCCTCCCTGCGCGCCGGGGACGAAACGGGACTCGCACCCCGGCTGGTTCAAAACTTATGCTGAGCTTTCTCATCCTTCCTTCCCCTCCCACCGTCTCCCAAACACCTGCCAATCCGAAAAGCCACTCCGGAGGGGAGGCCCGGCACCAGGCCTCCGGGGACACCGAGCCCCTCCCCAGGCAAGGCCGCGCACCCCCGAGGCCAGCGGCCGGCCCTCAGGATGGGACCGCGCCCGGGGTCCCCGGAGACGGCGGGCGGTCACATACGGGGCGACGCAGGCAGAAAACCTGCCCCACCCGCAGCCGCGCCCCGCGCCCGGGTCCCCCGACACCCGGCCCGCAGCCGCACTCACAAGGTGTCCAGCAGGAGCTTGGCGGCGCCCTCGCAGGTGAGCCTCTGCCGCTTCTGGAACGTCTCCCAGCGCTCCCGCTGGTCGCCCAGGTCCAGCTTGGCCACCGAGGGCGCCGGAGGGGCCGGGACCGGGGGCGGCGGCAGCGCGGGCTCCGGCGGCGGCTCCCCGGGGCCCGCCTCCTGGGCCCGCGGCGACGACGGCCTCGGCCGCTGCTTGGCCGCCCGGCTCCGGCCCCCGGGGTGGCCCGCGGGGCGCTGGGCGCGGGTGTCGCCGGCGGCCGAGGCGGCGGCGGCGGGAGCCCGGGCGGCCCCGGGCCGCTTCTGCCCGCGCGGCTGGGAGGACGCGCTCCGCCGGGTCGGCCGCATGGCTCCGCCACTGGCGCGCAGGCCCGCCGCCGCGCGTGCCCGCCGCCGCGCCCGCAGCCCGCGCGCCCCTCGCCAGCCGCACCTGCGCGCCCAGGGGGCGCTGCCCGGCCCGGCCGCCCCGCTGCGCCCCAAAAGGCGTGTCCGCTCGCCCCTCGGCCTCGGTGAGTGCGCCCTGCAGGCCAAACGGGCCGCACCTCGGGCCCAGGCTCCCGACACCCGGAGCCTTTGCACCTGCGGAGCGGCCTCCGTCCCCCTGAAGCCTCAGGGCTGCCTACCTGCCCGACCGCGGTGGCCCTGGGTCAGCCCCGAATTCACGGCCACGTCCCCGCGGGCAGCCGGGCACCTTCCCTCCAGACAGGGGAGTTCTGCCCTTGCAGGAGCCCCGTGCGCCTGAGATAAACCGAAGGCCTGGAACCCGCTACCTGCTGACAAAGAGCAGCCGAAACCATAGTCCTTAAACTTCGTCTTTCCAACTTTCTAAAACTGTGTGTGTTACAATTTATTACTTAAAAAAAAAAAAAAAAAAAACACGCCTGTTGACCATTGATACCCTTATTGATAGTCAACAGGCTTTAAAAAAAAAAGTAATAAATGAATGAAGCCTTCACCCAGTTACGTGATTACGTTTTGTTGAACACAGCTCCAGACTTATAGTTTCAGCTTTCACCCTAAGTCTATGATCCACCTCAAATTAGGTTTTTTTTTTGGTTTTGTTAATCCTCCCCCAAAGATATTTTTTCCATTGATTTTTTTTTTCTTAAGAGTGGGAGGAAAGAGTAGCGACAGAGAAACATCTATGTGAGAGAGATATCAATTGGTTTGCCTCCCGCACACACCCCCAACCAGAGCTCGGACAGAAGTACATGCCCTTGCCTGGAATCCAGCCTGGGGAACCTTCCTTCTGTGAGCCTTCCTATCCACTGAGCCAAACCAGCTAGGGCTCAAATTAATTTTTGCAAATGGTGTGAGTTCCTTCCTTCCTTCCTTCCTTCCTTCCTTCCTTCCTTCCTTCCTTCCTTCCTTTTTTTCCTTCCTTCCTTCCTTCCTCCCTCCCTTTCTCCCTCCCTCCCTCCCTCCTTTTATTTCTTTCCTTCCTTTCCTTTCCTTTCCTTTTCTTTTCCTTTCTTTCTTTTTTTCATATAGACATGAAGTTACCTAGGTCTCTATCCTCTATTCTGTTGCACTGATCGACTTACCTGCCCTTGCACCAAGTCAATTCTGTCTTAATATACTTGCTTAATTACTTAGTCATGAAATCAGAGAAAGGCCTCCAGATATCTTCTTCAGGATTATCTTGGCCCTGCTAAGTCCTGTGCATTTCCAAATAAAGTACAGAATCATCTATTTCTACAAAGCAGCCTGCTTGATACTTTATGCTATCAACCATACTCCTATGAAAATCCAATTCCTCCAATTTAATATGTGTAATTTCATTCTTTTAATTTTTGTTTTTGCCATACCCATGGCTGGTTTTGTTTTTTTGAAGAAAATGTTTTAAATTTAAAAAGAGAGTTCCAAAGAAAAGCAAAGAGAAAAACAATAAATTAAAATAAAAGGAAAGGAAAAAAGAGAGTTCTGGCCCTGCCAGTATGGCTCCGGGGTTGAACCAGGAGATCACAGTTCCATTCCCGGTCAAGACCGCTGCCAGGGCTGCAGGCTTGATCCCCACTAGGGCGCGTGCAGGAGGCAGCCAATCAATGATTCTCTCATCAATGATGTTTCTCTTTCCCTCTCCCTTCCTCTCTGACATGAATAAAAATATATTAAAAATAAATTTTTAAAAAATGAAATGTGGCCGAAACCGGTTCGGCTCACTGGTAGAGCGTCGGTCTGCGGACTGAACGGTCCCGGATTTGATTCCGGTCAAGGTCATGTACATTGGTTGCAGGCACATCCCCAGTGGGGGATGTGCAGGAGGCGGCTGGTCGATGTTTCTCTCTCATCGACATTTCTGGCTCTCTATCCCTCTCCCTTCCTCTCTGTAAAAAATCAATAAAATATATTTTTTAAAAAAATGAAATGTGTTTTGATTTAGTTTTGTTCTCCGAGTTTGCACCTCCACCAGTGCAAGGAATTTTTGCCTTCCCTGAATCAGACGACGTTTTCAAAGCGGTGGGGACCATCCACGAAGCAGCTGACTTGAGGTATACGCTCTCCCTAGAGTTCCCCCAGTGGCGCCCACACTCAAAGCCCTCATGCCATGCTACCACCCCAACGTAGACACCAGGGTCACATATGGCTGGACGTCCTAAAGGACAAGTGGCCTGCCTGTGTGACCTCAGGACCATCCTGCTCTCCCTCCTGCTAGAGATCGCAGCATCGATGGCCCGTACGTAGCACACACGTGCTGCAGGGCTCTGGGCACACGCACAGCCTTCAAAAGCTCCGACAGGAAACCTAGGCAAAGCAGGTCTCCGGCCAAGAGCCCTGACCTGGGTGTCCAGCCTCTCTCCTTGTGCCGTCTTCTTACCTTTTCCTTAGGTGGTATGTCCTTGCCTTGATTTCTGTATAGGACTGTATTTACAGCCATGGTATCATATTTGTTTGGTGTCTCATTTTAATATTTTTTTATTTTATTGATTTTTCACAAAGAGGAAGAGAGAGGAATAGAGAGTTAGAAACATCGATGAGAGAGAATCATCGATCAGCTGCCTCTTGCACATCCCCCACTGGGGATATGCCCGCAATTAAGGTACATGCCCTTGAACAGAATCGAACCCAGGACCTTTCAGTCCGCAGGCCGATGCTTTATCCACTGAGCCAAACCGGTTTCGGCTGGTGTCTCATTTTAAAATTAAGCCTCTGGTTGAGCCCCTGTGATGAATAAATAAATAATATATATATATATATATATATATATATATGAATAAATAAATTTTATATATATATATATATATATATATATATATATATATATATATATCCCTAATATGCAAATAGACCAAATGGCAAAACAACCAAACAACTGGTCACTATGGCGTGCACACCAAGAACATGGCAGGTATCGGCAGCAGATGGCAGAGTGTGGAACATGGCGGGCGTCGGCCATGGCGGGATGGTGGAGCAGGTGAGTGGGAGTGCCAGACCAAGATGGGGCGCCAGTTGCTGTCATGGGTGAACCTCTGGCGGTTACTGAAAATTCTTTGCTCCCATGCACTGCCGTCCTGCCTGGTGTTTGCAGCCACTGCTGGCGCCCAGCACTGGCCTCAATCACTCAGCACCATCAGTGGTGGCTGCCAGCCCTGATCGCCTCTCAAGGCTTTTCTACCTCCCCCTGCTCCTGAGGAGCAATTGGGGCTGGCAGCCACTGCTCACACCTGCTGCCAGCGACAGCCCACTCAACCCACTGATGGTTCCCCACTCAACCCACCGCTTGCACCCGCTGGTGGCACCAGCCCCAATTGCACCTACTGCTGGCCCTGGACCCAATCACTCCACACTGTCAGCAGTGCAACCTGGGCTGGGACTGGCACTGTCATTGTGTGGGAAGAGCGGCAGCAGCAGCAGCTGGAGCTGAGCGGCCAGCAGACAGGACCATGGGCCATGGCAGGAGGGGCCGAGGATGGGCAGAGACCCACCCTTGTGCCCAGAGTAGCCTCACGCCCACAGTTCCTTTCAAGGTGCACCAAGTCGTGTACAAGACTCCTACTATTAAATAAATACACTTTCAATATAAAAAATGAAATGTTTTAATAAACAATGCCTTTAGAATTATTCAAAGTGTGTATACATTTTTTGGAATACCTTATGTATAAGCCCTGGAATGTTTATAGTTGTCTTTTTTTTTTTCTTTAATCCTCACCTATCGATTTTAGAGAGATAGGAAGGGAGAGAGAGAAACATCTATGTGAGACTGTAACATAGATCGATCGCCTCCCTACATGTCCTCTTCCATTAGTGTGAAAACTAAGCTGCTCCCTTTACCCATGGAATTCAGGAATTTTGCCAGGATATGTGTATGTATTTATCTTTTTTACTGCGTTGTCTGCAGGTCAATAAGCTTAACACCTGCCAAGCTTGATAAAGTAAAAAAAAAAAAAAAAAAAAAAAAAGGAGACAACAGAATATACATTTATACATTAGAAATGAAAAGGAAAACATAACCACAGAAACAGAATTAACTCTAAGACTTATTATGGAATCGTAATGTTTTTTAGACACTTAACTGGGCAAGTATTTTTATCATCTCTGGCTATTTAGCATCTGTAGGTTGTGTAGGTTTTGACAAGACTTGCTAAATCATAACTTCTATTTAATACTAGGGTCCCTCGGGGTGGTCTGCAGGGATTGGAGCCCCAGCTCACACCCCCAGCCTTGCAGCCCTGCAGCCTCACCTGGCACCCCACCATGGCCTGGTGCCACCACCTCACCTGTTTCACCATCTCACCTGGGGGGCAATCAATCAGGGCCAGGCCCCCTGCCTAGCTTTATCAGAGCCTGGGAGTGGGTGGTGGCTGAGGGCTCCCCCCCCCCCCTCTCGCCCCAGCCACCGCCTCTGGTCACCATCTGCGGGGCCATTAGCAGGGCAATTAGGCCCCTGCTCGCACGCACCTTAGCCTAGCGCCATCTGCTCACCTGCTCCACCATCCCGCCATGGTCCTGTTCTCATCAGGGCCCATCAGAGCCAGCAGCGCCTCCACTGCCGCCCACTGCCAGTGATGCGTCGCTGACGCCCGCCATGTTCTGTGCCACCCCCTAGTGGTCAGCGCATGGCATAGTGAGCAAACTCCTGATCAAACAATTTGCATATGGTGTTTCCCTGAAAATAAGACATCCTCCCAAAATAAGACCTAGCGCATGGAAAAATAAGACATCCCTTGAAAATAAGACCTAGCGCAACTTTGGGAGAAAAAATTAATATGAGTGTCTTATTTTCAGGAAAACAGGGTATTAGGCTTTTATTATATAGGATAGGCTGTTTTTTGAAAAAGAGTGTCATATGTAGAAACGGGAAACATATCCACTCCTATAGCTAATCTAACATGAGCAACTTTCCCTACCAGGAATGACACTAACTTCTTCCAGGATTCAAATTCATAGAGATAGAAAGTAGAATAGAGGTTTTACTATACCAAGTACTATTCACACTATTGTCTGTTCATGGACTATGTATATCCTT